TGTGCGCTAGTGTAACACTGGTGTAAAAGTTATCTGTATATATTGTACGGCCAGAATCTAATAAGTCCTTTGATAAATGAAAAACAACAGTGTCCGGAACAGATTGATATCGAGTTTTGTCATGACCACTATATATTTGCAAGTCATACGTAAATCCTCCATCCAAGCAAAGTTTGTACACTTTGACGCCAAACTTATGCTTTTTGTTTTTTATGTACTGCCTAAACGATAGGCGACCCCTACTAAACGAGATAATACTTTCATCAATGCACAGACACTCACCCGGCACTATTACTTTTTTGAAATTTGATATAACTTTCTCCAGAAGTGGTGCTAGTTTATAAAGTCTTACCCTTTTGTCGCTGGTTTCATTATCACTAAAATGCAAATTACCCAGTAATAGTTCAAATCTATTGCGCGACATAAAACTTGATATTTTATTTGCGTACAACGGATTTTTGGGCCAATAATCACTTAACTGTGGTAATTTCTTTAGACCCATCGATATGAGTAAAGAAAAAAAGGTTTTCATGTCCTCTTTATTTGTCAAGGTATGCATTTGGTCCATGCATACCTTTACTAATGTTTTGTTGAGCATATCGGTTGGTTTCTTCAACGATTAATTCAAAAATGTTATCGTCCATGAATAGTTGAAAAACATCGTTAGGATTTTTATTAAACATTTCAAAATACTCATTTATAAACCCTGCGTCTGGAATATTACAAGGAATATTGTGTAAATGTTTACCATCAACTTCTTTCCATGATAGTTCTTCGCTTTTTTCAGTATTCGACTCTTCTTCTGAAGAACTCTCATCCTGTGTGATTTGATACTGCGATATAACGGTGTCAATTGTGTCGTCTATTGTGGAACTTCCGCCGCCAGTTTTTGACGTTGAGGGCATATCTTTATTTAGCACTGATTTGCGTTTTTTTCTTTGTAAAACCTCTTGTGACGAACTACTGGAACTTTCGTCGTGATCCGAGTCTTCATAATCTTTGTCGCTAACACTACAATCACTGTCTTCTCCCGATAGAAATTCTTCCATCAAATTTTGAAGACGCTCCCTTTCATGTTCGTACGACATTATGAATAAAACTATATCTCGTTCAACAGTCGACTAAATACTGAACACTAAACCATCGAGTACGTGTTTGATAATAAAAAGCGATCAAACAAGTATCGACAAGATTTTGCTTTGTTACACACACATTGAAAAAGTGAGAAGCAAGTGTGCATCACATGGCCGTCTGTGGTAGAAATGCTTATTTGGGCCATGTAGTGCATCCGAGCTTCTCAAAATTAGAAATATCAAAAAAATTTGCAAAAATCTAAAAATGAGGATGAAATTTAACAACAAATATTTTAAATATTGAACCAGCCATATTTAACTTATTGGTATTGTGGCCCACAGAACAACATTTCAGCTTGCAATAAACCAAAATACCGCCTCTTCAATGAGCCGCCCCTGTGCGGTGAACACCCTGTACACCCATAGGCGGCGGCCCTGCGGATAACCACGTGATCCCGGTAGTATTACGCATTCTTGTGAGTTCATGACAGACGTGACAGACGTTAATTCACATGGTGTAAGAGGACACTTGAGGAATGTCTTATCGTAGTAATTTTAGTAATATTTCAGAATTAACACAATAAGAAAATATTGTAATAGTTTTAGTTCTTCAAGATCCTTTATAGAATAAACTTCTTTAAAAGAAATTGAAGCGTTTTCTTTCCATCGAAAACCAACCAAAAAGGGTATAACTCGTGGATGTCCGAAAGCTTGACAAGTAACGAATAAATTGATTTAATGAAACAAATATCAAGTTAATTTCACTACTTTGGATAAACCTGTTAGTTTTAACATTATGAGTACTTCGTTACTTCCTCTCCCCGTAAATAATAAAATTGGGATAATAAATTTTAAATTTAATAGCGCCATCTTTTATAAGATACCCGTAGCTAAATTATTATAATAAAAATAATATCAACAAATCGATAAGTATAAAAAATTCTTTTCTAATATTTTCAAATTAATATAATAATAAATATAATATTATAATAATAATTTAGTTTAGTTATAATATTATAATGTAGGGACTTTATTTTAAATTATTACAGCGTGCCATCTGTTATTGAAAAGCTAAAACTGTACTAGAATGAATGTAGTAACCAATACGCTGTTCGTTATTTCCATTAACTTAACCGTTGAAGTTTAGAAGAACATGTCGCTTTGCTTTTCTTTATAGAAGTCGTTTTGTGGAAGCTTTAGGTTAAATTCTATTTTAATGTTAACCGGTTTCAAAACAACAAATATGAAATAAAGAAAAGGATGAAATGGTGTAAATGGAATTTTTATTCCTACCAAAAGTAAGTATCAATCTTTTTTGTTAATAGTATTAAATTTCAATCATATTTATGTAGATTTGATGATTTTTTTCGTTGTAAAATATATATTAATTTGCTACTAAAAAATTTTCAAGTCAAAACCCTATAATTGATGTATTTCATTTTTGATCATCAAAAAGATTCACTAAAAGAATATATTGATGTAATAATAAAATGATGTAATTATCACATCAATAACATTTTTAACCTTAATCATAGACCATTGATTAATGTTTTGTTACAGGGCATAAGAAGTGGTACTGTTAGACATCAATATTTTTGGAAAATACTATTTTTGGATGAGTCTATTTTTAAGAATTACCACATGTGAAGAAATTCAAGTTGGTTGTATCAAGTAATGATAAACTGATTGATCCATAATATATTAATTGGAAAGAAGTATCAGCATTTTCGTGATTTTCTAATATTATTGTAAGTTTACCTTTACAACAAAGCAAGCTAAGCGACGAAAAATGTAGAAAATGTCATTTTATTCCTTCTTTACACAGAACAAGTTTCTTTTGGTTCATTTTTATAATCTTGTATAGTTAAATATGACAATTTTATAGTTCAGGTATAATTCAAAATACTATAGAAAATGGCTTGAAAAAAATAGAACAACTAACAATGTTGATAGAATATTTAAGATTTAACAATGTTTGAAAAGAGTATCAAAACAACATCTGTTTTCATGCTGTAAGGAACATTGTTGATGTCATTTGTGTGAGGAGTGCTTTAAATTATCTACGATTCCTTTAAGAATTGTTTTTTATATGCATAGAGTTCTTTCAATTTGAACTTATTACCACTTTCATTTTTATTTTCTTGTGTGTTAAGATGTTTTGACTTGAATATGACAACGACTTTATTTAAGTGCTTTATTTTTTATTAGACTTGATTAAACTGCTATACAAAATTCACTGTCACGCTTTCAATATGGCCAGAGTCCTCATTGCTCTTATTTTAACCACCTCACATGACCCTCACTGTTGTCAGCCTTTTTTATATGTCGCCTGTGATTAGATACACAAATATTTTGTGAGAGAGAGAAGGGTTCTTTTTGAGCTTACCCATTTCTTTGGATATCAAACATTTGTGTATGTGCAAACGTTTTTGGTTGGTCTTCATTGAACATAAATTTTTTATACAATAATTTATTTTCAATGAGCCTCTTTTGAATTATTATTACTTTCATTCTGATTTAGTTGAATTTTTACACGTGTGGTATGCGATTGGATATCATATGTTATGTGAGAAAAACATGGGTTCTTTTTGTGTCTACTCAAATTGATCTATTTATTGATTATCAAACATTTGTGTATGTGCAAACACTTTTTGTTGGCTCCATTGTGTATGTCTTCAATGAACAATCTTTTGGATAATTTATTATTAATAGGCCTTCATTTTGTTTAAGAATGCTTTTCAATTGTTCTTACTGGCCTCATTATATGTATGTTCGCCGGTATCTGCACTTTTCTTTAATGAATTAATACTCATTAATTTGCTATTCAACACGTTTCTGCAGGGAATATTAAGGAATGTCGAGTTTTATTTAAAATTATTGTCATGTCGTAACAGGGATGTATGCATAGTAAAACTTACTTGTATTTAATATAACTTTTATTCTTCCAAATAATAAGTAGAAAATACGCTAGTAAGTTACTATAACGTGAACACTTGTTATGCGTATCTCGTTCCGCGTCGCACAGTGGTTCAGAATAGCCCGTTTTCTGAAAAAAATCTATAACTATTAGTAGGAAAGGTATTTTTGATTTTAATTTGGTATTTGATAGTTTGTCAATATTATAAAGGTTTTTACCAAATATTAGGCATTATCGCTATTTAAAGTCTTTCATATGAAAAACTACGAGGCAATATCACCAAAATCGAGTATTTATGGAGCTTTCATATCAAAAAGTATAATGTGTTTCGGTGACTGGAGGAACAAATTTAACCACATATACTAGAGTGAAAATGATGACGATTCATGTAAAAAAATTGGTAAAAATCCTTAAATTGCAAAGATACAGGCCATCAAAGTTACGAAATTTTAACACATTTTTCTAAATATTTTAAACACTATCTATGGTAAAGCGGTGAAATTTGGTACAGTATCAACGAATATCACGTAAAATCGTTAGGCAATTTATGAGTTGGATCGGTCCGCGGGAACAATGATATACAGGTGTTCCTAAAATTTGTTTGCTCAGAACTTTATTATTTTTTATTCTATCGTAACCCTACATTTATTTTTACAGTTTCTAATAGTAAATTCAGTTTAGAAACTTTTATCACTCTTAGATAATATTGATAAAAATTTAGTGTTACTATTGATTTCGGAGCCTACAATTTTTGCATTCAATACGAAAAGCGTTTTTTATCAATATCCTCTAAGAATGATAAAACTTTCTAAAATAAATTTTCTATTAGTAACTGAAAACCTAATTGTAGGGTTACGCTGGAATAAAAAAGTTCTGAGCAAACAAATGTTATACCCTGTACTTATAACATTGTTCCCGCAGACTGATCCTACTTAAAAACATAACTATTTTACGTGACATAAGTTTACACTGTACCAAATTTCAACGCTTTATCTAAAATAGTGTTTAAGATATTTAGAAAAATGTGTTAAAATTTCCTAACTTTGTCGGCCTGTATCTTTGCAATTTGACTTTTACTAATTTTTTTACATGAATTGTCACTAGAGTGAAAATAGTGACAATATGTGGTTAAATTTTGTTTTCCAAATCACCGAAACATCCTGTATACTTTGTTCAGTTATATAATATTGATAATAATAAGAGTTTTAATTTTATATTTCTCAGCTAAAGATTTAATGTATTCCTCCTGACTAAGAGTCATAACATGTTTTGTGTAATCATAATCAATATTAATTCCGAGATAATTTTTCACTTCTCCCATATCTTTCATTTTAAATTTACTGGACAATAAGCTTTTAATGTATTGAATCTTTTCTTATTTTTACAACATATTAACAGATCGTCAACAAACACTACTAAGTAAATCATATCGTCTTCATCTCACATTTACTCCTTATAAATTTCATCCTACATAAAAATTCATCGAAACAATTATACCACGCACGAGGACTTTCTCTCAAACCGTATAATGCTTTATCTAGTTTACACACTCTGTCAGTCCCATCCTGAAATCCTCTCGCTTGATTTACAAAGATTTCTCAAAAAAATCTTACCATTCAAGAAAGCAGTTTCTACATCCATTTGTTCTATAATCAGTTTTTCCTGGCAGCAATATGATAATAATAGTTTTAAGGTTTACATTCCAGCTACCGGCGAATAAATGTCACTACAATTTCTGATTGTTGAAAGACTTTCACAACCAATCTGGCTTTATACATATATATTATTTGCCTTCTTTGTAAAGACCCATTTAACATCTAGACTTTTTTCATTCTCTGGTTTTTTGACCAATTTCCATGTTTTATTTTTATTTAAGCTTTCCATTTCTTTATTCATTGCTACTTTCCACTGTTCTGCCTGTTTACTGTTTAACGAGTCCTCAAAGTTATTTGCATTTTCTACATTGCAAACGTGACAATCAACGTAACTATCATCATATCTTGCTGGCATTTTCCTTTCTCTCGTCGATCTTCTCAATTCTTGAGGCGTTTGTTTTTGTTTTATTTTCTAATTTAATTTCTGTACTCTCATCTTGTATTTCAGAATCAGTTTCAATTTCATTACTAGAAGAATCAGTTTCAATTTCATTGTCAGTTCTGTTTGTATCTAAACCTATACATTTTCCTCCACAACATCAACATGTCTAGCTACAATGATTCTGTTATTTACTAAGACTTTATACCCAACTTTAGTATAACCCAGTAAAATTCCCAAATCAGCCTTTTTATCCCATTTAGACCTTCTTAATTGTTCTGGTCTTCGAACAAAAATTCTACTTCCATATAGACGTAAATGTTTAATATGTAAGCGTTTTCTTTTCTACAGTATTTGCTAATGTTTTATTCTTAAGATATGCGCATACTACCTCTGGCCAAATTTTCTAATAAACATCTAGACATGTCCATAATTGATCTATTATATCTTTCTGCTGTACCATTTAATTCATGTACATAAGGTGGACAAGTATTTATAGTAATACCTTTCTCTCTAGTTAAATGTTTAATATTTGAATTTAAATTTTCTATTTCATGCATATATTCTACAAAGCAATTATAAACCTGATCTTTTGATTTAATGGTATACACCTTAGCTATCTTACTATAATCATCAATAAATGTCAAAAAATATTTTTCCCCTTTAAATCTCGTAGTGGTATGAGGCCCATTCAAATCAGTGTGAACTATTTCTAAAATTTCTTTAGCTTTACTTTTGTTATTGTCAAAAGGTATATTATGCATCTTATTTTCAATACAAGTTTTGCATTTCATATACTCGGTTTCTAAATGTTCAGGTATGCCATCTAATAATTGGCTTTTACATAAAGTTGTTAAATCAGAAAAATTTACGTGACCCAGAACACGATGCCATTTTTCCTTTAACGTCATATTAATTTTAGTATTACTATTTGTAATATTTACTTTCTTATTTTTAATTATACTTATGATTTTATATAATCTGCCCTCTTTCCTAGCAATTCCAATCAATTGATTATGTCTGTTATACATTTTTGAAATATTTATCTTTGATATAATTTTATTTTTATCTGTGATTCTCGCATAACTAATTAAATTTCGATCCATTTCTTTAACACAAAAAACATTTGACATTCTAATTGGAATTATCTTCTCATAAACTTGAAAATAACTAATTACATGACCTACTTTAGTGGCTTTCAAAAATTTACCATCACCAATATTTACATTTACAGGTTCTTTTAGTGTTACACTATCATGAAAATATTGATCATTATTTCTTACGTGATCGGTACAGCCACTGTCTAATAACCAATGAATTTCTATTTCATCACCTAAATCTGATCTTTCATCTTTACATATCATCATAGTTTGGACCTGCGTATAAAAACTGTTCATTCCATAACCGCCCTGTTGCCTCTTCCGCCGTGATAATGGTTACCTCTTGAACTTTGTTGTTCGTCTCTACCACTCTGTCTGCCTCTATTATAATAATTATGGGAATAATTATTGCTTCTTCGTTGGCTGAAATTTCCTCGGTTGTACTGTTGCATTCTACGTCTTTTCCATGAACCTCTGCCTTCACCAACCTGACGACAATCTTTCCTGAAATGGCCTGGTCGCCCACATTTATAATACACTTCTTGATTCTGTTTCTTTGTAAAAAAGGCATTTGACTTTTGGTCACAATTTGTGGATTCTATTTTGGATTGGACAGCTTCTATTTCGCTCACAAATTCCAGCTGTTTATTTGTGATCGCACTGTAGATAATATTGATAGCTTTCAAATTTTTCTCATCCTAATCATCTCCATCGGAACTCTGTTTTTCTCTTGAAACAGCTTCATTACATTTTTTCATTTTCAAAAACCTGATTATTCTCTTTTTCCAGCTTCCGTAATCTTCTCCATCGACCACTGGTATCGTTACATCAGTCATTTTTATAACCTTTCTTGTATGTAGATTCCAATTCAAATTCTTTTGCTATTCTTCTCAGCAACTACCAGTTTTACCACTTTTACCACGTTTTGTTCTTTTAATTAACCACGTTCTGCTACCATGTGAAAAATAATACGTGATCGCTTTTAAACGTGTCGTTATCTTTATTAAATACAAAAACAGTATTTTTTCGTAACCATAGCGTAACTAACAACTACATTTTACTACTTGATTACTCCTAAATCATAATCGAAACTAAACAACTTACCAGATGGCGTATGTTATTAAATGTATGTAATCTAACAGAGGTAATGTCAAGGAAAGCCATGGGAAAGCCTTCATATTTTAACAGTTCTGATGCATTATTTGACAAGCTCGAATTAAAATTACAGATTCTATTTAGTCTGAAACTTATTACTTAAAGAAAATTGTTAAATAGCTTATTCAAAAAATGACTCAATTGACGATTTAATAGTCGCAGAAAAACCAGTAAAAGTGATTGACTAAATAATAGAATAGTAATATTAAAATAGCATCAAATAGATTTATGTTTCTAATTATGTATTTTGTTTCTTCAATTTAAGGAACCGTAATGGAGTGTAGACGAATTTTTATGCGCCCGGGTTGTAAACACGGACCAGTAAAAATTTCTGCCAAGCTGACAAAGTCGAGTTTTATTGGAATCCGAATGGAAATTGTGCCCTGTTACTAACGATAACAGAAGTCGATAAAACCGGCGGTGAAAGGTTCGCCATCATTGTCCTACGATATATTCTTTCATAAAATGGTATGTAATTATTATATTATGAAATATTAAATCATCTACCCCATTTTTTTTTTCAGGAGAGAAGCATTGCAAGGAAACAGTAAAGAAATAATGAAAATATAAACACAAAAATAAAAATCTTTTCCAGAGAAACTATCACTGAGTACAAATTTCAGTTTCTCTTCACTGTTGCGTTTTTGTCAAAGTGTGGAATTAGCTTAACGAAGATTAGTTTCTCCATATTAGACATACTTTGGTTTCACATAAGTATTCTTTTTTTATGAGCCTTACTAGACAGATCAAATTTGTTTATTACGAACATAAGCTTTTTTAATCAATCGATAAATAATAATTTCTGAAATTCACGAGATGAGTATTTCCATTTCTCTTGATAGTGTTCCATTTAAAAGCTGTCACAATTAAGTTTTTGATACCAACCCATAAACCGCTTAACGCGCAACATTTTCGTTTATTATGCAAACTGCCCCTAAACGTCGAAGTTGTGCTTTAAGTGGTTAATGGACGGTAGTTTTGTTTGTCACATCAATTCATTTTGCGAGCTGTTAACAGTTGTTTAGAAACTCTTAAGGTTAGAACTGTAATTAGATTAGCTTCCTTTGATACTTGTTGTTAAGGTGGGAATCTGGTTTATGAGGCTCAAAAAAAGACTATGTAAGGAAGAAACCAAAAAGATTTTAATTTTACATGATTTTCTTAGAAAGCCAACAAATCAAATTAGTTAGGAATGAAATCATTATCAACCAATAAAACCTATGTTAACCTGTGTAACCGTTTAACGCATAATATTTCGTTTCGTTATGCCAATCTGCCCCTCAACGTCACGAAGGTATGCTTTAGGCGGTTACCAGCTATTAGTAAAGATTCACGTAAATCTGCTTCGAAATTCCTTTTCATTGAGACAAACGTTTGTTGGAAATAACGTTGGTTTGAAATACATAGTTTACATTTTTGTTGTTCTGTTACTAAAGTATGCAAAAATGTTCGCAAGCAGTTCTCAGGAATTTTGACGATTTCACCAGTTTCCTCATATACATTCTTTCGAAAGGCTGCAATACGCTTCCGCGTGTTGATTTTCAACCTATCGTGGTCTTCTTCCTTTAACCCCTTATTCTTTTCTTTATTCACAGGATGTCACCATGTACGATGTAACTGATTAAATAATATAAGTTTTTTATTTTATTTGATAAGTTAAATGATATGATCCTCTTAGAAAGCGAACAAATCAAATGGATTTGGAATGAAATCATTATTAACCAATAAAATCTATAGAGTAAACCTGTTGTCGTGATACCAGCCAGCCTTTTGTACATGTTTGGCAACACGAAGTTTTTGTCAGGATGATACAGGGTTTTCCAATAAGAGGTGTTATTTTGATATTCAAAGAAAAATGCCATTTTTTAGTATAAATGATCGGATGTTTATTTCATTATAAAGAAGAAGGTATGCCGTTAATAGTGGAAAATAACATTAGGCAAATGACCACCACGACCACGCTTACAGGACAATATCCTTTCCATGAAATTTTCCATAACCAAATTGCAAAGTGGCTGCCCTATGTTCTCAATAGCCTCACGAATTCCATCTTTGAGGTCTTGAATCGACGCTGGTCTGTTGGCGTACACCTTCTCTTTCACGTGGCCCCAAAGGAAGAAGTCGCAAGGTGTTAAATCACAAGATCTCGGTGGCCAATTGTGATCACCTCTTCGAGAGATAACACGGTCCGGAAACTTTTCCCGTAAAAGATCAATGGTTTCGTTGCTTGTGTGGCACGTGTAGCACCGTCTTGTTGAAAGTAAACGTTGTCCACATCAATACCATCCATTCACCGTAACTGTTGCTCCAGCCTCATTTTCGAAAAAGTAAGGTCCAATGACTCCGCCGGACCATACACCGCACCAAACAGTCACACGTTGAGGATAGAGAGGCTTTTCAACAATAACTCTTGGGTTTTCCGAGCCCCAGATGCGACAATTGCTTGTTGACGAAGCCACCGAGGTGGAAATGGGCCTCATCACTCAAGATGATTTTTCGATGGAATTCCGGATCATTTTCATGCATTTCATGCATCGTCAACGAACCAATCAGCAAAGACACGACGTTGTTGATGATCAGACGGCTTGAGTTCTTGTGTTAACTGAAGTTTATAAGCCTTAAGACCCAAATCTTTATGCAAAATACGGTGTAATGACGTTTGTGGAATGCGTAATTCCAAAGAACGACGAGGAATGGACAAACCTGGGTTTTCTTCAACACTTTCGGCTACAGCAGCACTATTCTCGGCTGTTCTTGAGCGACGTGCACGGGTTTTATTCTTCACATCACTAACTTGTCCCAACAGCTCGAATTTTTCCACCAATTTCTGTATTGCGGTCCGACAAGGTGCTTCACGACGACCTAAAAATGTTCGAGTTTTACGAACCGTCGCTGCCAAAATTTCACCATTTTTATAGTGAATTTTAATAATTTCAATGCGTTGTTGAAGCGTGTATCGTTCCATTTTTATTAATGGCGTACTTTCTACTTGTCAAATGTCAAAAAATGACAGCTTCAAAAGTGACATCTACCGAAATAACGGGCTATTCAAAATAACACCTCTTATTGGAAAACCCTTTAGTAATAAAACACAACCGGTAAACTTAATCTTTTAACTTTATTGTCGACACAATTTCGGTAGCGCGGCGATTAAGAATTGAATAATGAATTCAAGAATGTGTGTGACGGCTGTGTTGAGCTTGAAGAACTATAGTAAATAAGAGAGTGAATTTTAGAAAACGGGGGTTTTTATGCACGCCCTTATCGCATTTTTGGTGGGCCGAACCCCGGGAAACGACGAACTGAGGACAAAATAATCTAAAGGTTCCAGTCGCACACACTTCTTGTTGTTCGCATTCCAATTCCTGTTATATTTTCGTGGTCGAAAATATTTGTTAGGGTAACGAGTGTTAGGAAAGATAAGGAATACGACTTCCTGTTACATGGGTATCTAATCCCTTTAAGAATTTTGATAAAAATTTTTTTTTATAAAAATCACGTGGCTTAATCTAACAAAAAGCTTATCATCTTATAACAAAAATTATTTTCATAGTAATTTGGTGTTCAAATATAATTGATCTGAAAATTTTATTCTTTGTATAATTACATAAAGGACGAATCTTAAAATAGATTAAATTTGTGGGGCCCTATCGGTTTCCGATATTTAAAAAAAGCCCTTTCAAACAAAATGGCGGCCGTTTACAAAAACACTCATTTTTTCATGTTTTTTTGGGCTTCAACTTAAAAAAAAATATATTTACAATAATTTTATCGAAGAAGGGCCCCCAAATTTAATTAGCTTTAATTTGAGAGGTGAAACTTTGCAATCGGTGCATTCCTCGAATCTCTAGAGTCTAGAGCGTACCGCTCGAAAAACATTGTTTCGAGAATAACGCGTTTAAAGTTTTATGTAGTAAAAAGTTGTAAAAATGTAGTAAAAAAGTTAGTTTTTGACAACTTACGTCTAATCAGCTATTCCAGCACCATACAGGATCCCTTCTTCTTCTTCTTCGAAGAGCGCGTTATTTTCAATCTCCAAGTTCATTATTTCAGTTCTTGCTCGTTTTGCGTGCTCCGACAATTTTTGCTCTCCTGCCGCGATGCGTTTGTCGTTCGCTTTCGCGGCGAAGCTTCTGCTGTACTTCCCAATAACGATTCCCAGTGTATTCATCGTTTTCAAAATTGATGAACAGCCTTCATTGAAGATACCAGCAGCCATATATGCTGATATTTGAATCGTTTGTACAACGCAATGAGTGTGTTTAGGAGAAAGTTTCCAAATGATGGCGTTAAAACTTTCATTATCATTTTGTGTTTCCGAATAATTATAAGTCGATAATAACGTTAGTACGTCGGCCGTACTAACGTTATTATCGATTTCGATATCATCATAACTCACGTTCTTCAATTTCTTGGCGGATGTGCTGACAAATTGTTCTTCATTTTACATTTCCTCTGGATCATAACTAATTCTCTTTTTCCGCGGCCGAGCAGGACGCGCGCTTCCCGGTAAACTTTTTCGCGTGTTCGGCATTTTCCGGCACGACGTCGCACGACTAAGAGCACGCTGCTTCAAAAGAAACGGTTGTCGATAACACACAACTATACTCTGTTTTTAAACCAGAAGGAGTAAACGCGAAAGTCAGATTTACACTAGGAAAAATCACCAGAAAATATCACTAGATATTTTGGCGGTAAATTTAAATTAATAATTATTATTATTTATTTTATTATTTATTATTGTATTTATTTTCGTTTGTTATCGTCAACACTAAACATACAAATTGACATTGAAGTTATGAGTGTATTTAAACTGTTGGAAATAATTCACGAGCACACCCTGTATAATCTGAACGCGTGTGTCTAGCACAATAAAATTTGGTATGGAAGTAGTACTAAAGTAGTGTAACTTACTCTNGCGTGTGTCTAGCGCAATAAAATTTGGTATGGAAGTAGTACTAAAGTAGTGTAACTTACTCTCACATGGAGAGCGGCACAACTCTGCTGGGAGGAGAAACATAAATAGCGAGAGTATCCCCCGTGAGCTTCGCGTACCATCGCTACACGACGTGGCATGGAGTCTATAAGTCGCTGCATTGTAGCGAGAGGGATGGCCAACCATGGCACCACAACTCGCTTCCATAGCTCCTCAACGTTGGCCGAGGAAGCCGGATAACGTAGAAGTCTCCAACCAGTCATGTCCCAAACATGTTCGATTGGATTCAGATCCGGAAAACGAGCTGGCCTGGGAAGCATTCGTATACGGTGCTCTTCCACAAAGGTCTGTACAATACACCCGATTAGCGTTCGGACGTTGTCGTGCATGTATAGCAGACCTGGGCGCCGCCGAACGTAGGGAAGCACAACGGACCGTAGCACCTCATGTACGTATCGTTGACCCGTCATGGTCTGCTATACACGCAGCAGACGTGTACGTCCACCATGTGTAATAGCACCCCATACCATAACGCTCGGTTGTCGGTGGATATGGCATTCTTGCACGCTCTGCTCGAGTAGACGATCACCACGTCTCCGACGAACTAAAATTTGCGGATCACCGGTGCTCAATTCGAATCTTGATTCGTCGGAAAACAAAATATGCCTGTACTCGGCAACCACCTACTAATGCCTAGCGTCGACCCACTCGTGACGTATGCTGCGGTGCTCGGGTGTTACTGGAATCCGCTGTATCGCACGACGCGCACGCAGTCCACTATCTACCAAACGCCGCCATAGAGTTCGCGTAGTGAGTGCGCCTTCTCCTGCCGGTGGCCAAACAGCTCCAAGTTGCCTTGAGGAGGACGCACACGACGCTAAAGCGCTGAGCACAAGAGTGCGATCCTCGTGTGCTGGGGTCGCGCAGGGCCGTCCCGGCCGCGGCTGTAGGTACCTATGTCCTACCTCAGACCATTCTCGCCATGCCCGGTGCACTGCCGATAACGACCGCTCGAGACGACGCGCAATTTCACAGAACGATACACCCTCAATGTGCATATCCTCAAACATTCCTCGGTCAAACTCGCTTAAGTAACGCGATCACCCATCCATTGCGCACAGAGTACGATAACCATGGTGTTCCTCACACCACACTAAAAACGACCGGTATTTTCCATCCACTTCGGTCTCCATAGCGATGGAATGTTCCACTTGGAAGAGCGGCTCAGTCAACAATGCCGCGACGGAACAACTCGAAACTCGATGAATAAACTCGTCTACAGTAAACCTTTGTGCTCCGCAAATATCACGGATTTATCTTCACGCGTTCAGATTATATAATGTGTGCTCGTGAATTATGTCCAACAGTGTATTTTAAAATATAATAAAGAAGGGTTTAAGAACACAAAATTTACAATAATGACACGAAACGATCTAACGATCAATAACCTAACCATCAAATTCAAAATCAAAATTCAAAATTGCCTGTGTGTGAACCTTCCTCGCATTCAACCAATCACATGCAAGGTAAATCTGGTGACAAATTTAAAATACTCTTCCTGGTTTAAAAACCGAGTATAGTAAACTCGCCTATCAGGAATTTTGTTATGAAATCAACTTGTGTCACACTGACGTTTGAAGTTTCGTTATTCAAAAAATACGCTCTACTTAGGTTGACATATTGTTCCGAACGCAAGCACGAGTAGCGAGAAAAGTAGCCCTCCCTTCAACTTCGCTCGCACTAGCAAAATGAGACCCCGTCTATCTCGAGAACTTCATCATATGTCGAAATATCCTTACTCCCACGTATTCTCGACAACATAAAGATGACAATTAAGCAAAAAAAAAATTTTTGATTCTTTTTTTCGATTTGGGCCCTTAAATCGTTCTTCTAATGATCGTCTGGGACGAATTATGGGTGAATTTACACTAGGGTGCGAAGATGGGAGTTCTACTCCTGTTCGACGAAGATTTTCGTCTCCTTCTTCTTCTAAATGTCGCAAACGTAGAGCGTTGAATTCGGCGAGTTGACGATCGGTTAACTCGAAACGTTCATTGTGGTTTGTAATGCATACATTAGGTAGTCCACAGTATTGGGGATGTTTAGAAAAGAAACGTCCTACTACGGGTAACCACGAACACTAGTAACAGCAGCACAATAGAATTATTGCACAAATTATTAACAATAATGATGCACTTTCCATATTTTCCTTCAGAATTCTGTCGAACTGGTCCAATTTGTGTTGGAAGTGACGTAAGTCGTTTAAATTTAAGTTATGCAGTTTTAGCGGTTCTAACTCCAATTTTTCGGTTTCAAGGAATTCTTGAGTTTTAATGCAGCAATCTTCCGTTGTGATATCCAAGGACGGTATGTAGTTAGTATAATTTGAAGATTGGTTCGTTGTTGAATACAAAATGGCGGAGAAGGTACATCCAGTGAGTTGTAAAATACCGGAGCCATGTAGGTCAATGTCGGTGATTTTAGAGTCGTGTGTATCACAACTTTGTTGGATTCCTCATAGCTTTTTGAAATAAAACTCAAAATCTTAACTAAGTCTTTTTATTTTATTAACACTACAGAATCTTACACTTAAAAATTATAGATTCTCGCTTATTTCAGCTTTTGTTTGTTTATGCCTTCGATTAGCGACACGAACTTACATAAATTACACTGTTGGAAATAATTCACGAGCACACCCTGTATAATCTGAACGCGTGTGTCTAGCGCAATCAAATTTGGTATGGAAGTAGTACTAAAGTAGTGTAACTTACTCTTACATGGAGAACGACACAACTCTGCTGGGAGGAGAAACATCAATAGCGAGAGTATCCCCCGTGAGCTTCGCGTACCGTCGCTACACGACGTGGCATGGAGTCTATAAGTCGCTGCATTGTAGCAAGAGGGATGGCCAACCATGCCACCTCAACTCGCCTCCATAGCTCCTCAACGTTAGCCGAGGAAGCCGGATAACGTAGAAGTGTCCGACCAGCCATTTCCCAAACATGTTCGATCGGATTCAGATGCGGAAACCGAGCTAGCCATGGAAGCATTCGTATACGGTGCTTTTCCACAAAGGTCTGTACAACACGCCCGATGTGCTGTCGTACGTTGTCGTGCATGTATAGCAGACCTGGGAGCCGCCAAACGTAGGGAAGCACAACGGACCACCGTAGCACCTCATCTACGTATCGTTGACCCGTCATGGTCTGCTATACACGCAGCAGACGTGTATGTCCACCATGTGTAATAGCACCCCAAACCATAATGCTCGGTTGTCGGTGGATAGGACATTCTTGCACGCACTGCTCGAGTAGACGATCACCACGTCTCCGACGAACTAACATTCGCGCATCACCGGTGCTCAATTCGAATCTTGATTCGTCGGAAAACAAAATGTCCCTCTACTCGGCAACCCACTAATGCCTAGCGTTGACCCACACGTGACGTATGTTGCGGTGCTCGGATGTTACTGGAATCCGCTGTTTCGCACGACGCACGCGCAGTCCACTATCTACCAAACGCCGCCGTACAGTTCGCGTAGTGAGTGTGCCTTCCCCTGCCGGTGGCCAAACAGCTCCAAGTTGTCTTGAGGAGGACTCGCACGACGCTAAAGCGCTGCGCACAAGAGCGCGATCCTCGTGTGCTGAGGTCACGCAGGGCCCTCCCGGCCGCGGCTGAAGGTACCTATGTCCTACCTCAGACCATTCTCGCCATGCCCGTTGCACTGCCGATAACGACCGGTCGAGACGACGCGCAATTTCACGGAACGATACACCCTCAATGTGCATACCCTCAAACATTCCTCACTCAAACTCGCTTAAGTAACGCGATCGCCCATCCATTGCGCACAGAGTACGATAACAATGTGGTTCCTCACACCACACTAAAAACGACCGGTATTTTCCATCCACTTCGGTCTCCAATAGCGACGGAATGTTCCACTTGGAAGAGCGGCTCAGTCAACAATGCCGCGACGGAACAACACGAAACTCGATGAATAAACTCGTCTACAGTAAACCTTTGTGCTCCCCAATTATCATGGATTTATCTTCACGCGTTCAGATTATATAGGGTGTGCTCGTGAATTATGTCCAACAGTGTACTTTATCTGTTAGAACTAAATTTCTTGTTTGTAGAATTAGTAGAAAAACGAGCATAATAATAACGACGATTTAGAAATACAGTAGTAGTCCCTCGATTTACGCGTGGGTTACGTTCCGTGAACATCCCGTGTAAATCGAAATCGCGTAAATTGAAGCATTGAATTATATGTAATTGGGGGGGTTTGGTTCTAACGACTAAGAAATTATCGACTTTTAAAGTATGTACATACTTTAATTATACATATTACAGTTAAAAAAAGGAACTGATATTTTTGTCTGATAGAGAACTAATAAAAAAAATCAACTTATTTCTTTGATAAAAAATCTGTGATTTTTGATTGCTTTGTTTCATTTTGAAGCCTCTGCTGTAAACTTTTATAAGGTGCCAAAGCATTAAGTATCTCACGTTGTGACTTTAAGCTACGCGGAGTAAGATCGTTTTCTATCAAAAAATCTGTTAATTCTTCTCCCATCTTTAAACATTGATTAACAGTTTTGAGACTTAACTCAGCTGGGAGTGTGTTTTCCTTATTATCGTCACTATCACTGGATTCTTGATTATTGTTAGCTACTAAATCTCCTAGCTCTTCTTCTGTTAGTTCAGAATTATGAGATTCGAGTAGCTCTTCAATATCTGACAACTGGAGGTCACTAAATCCAACTCCCGGTAACAACCGGCCTAATGTTACTGTAGCCTGGATGTCATTAGTATGTAAATTGACATCGTTGTCATTGCCCTTCTCCGATGTGACAACAGTTGGCCAGATTTTTCTCCAGCAACCATTCAATGTAGATTTTTTCAATTCACGATGGGACTCTTCGATGTTGTCTATGCAATTACCAATGTTGTAATTTTTCCAACATTGTGTTAAAGTTAGCTTCGAGTCACTTTCTAAACTATCTAATAACTTCTTAAAAGTTATTCTGGTATAATATGCTTTAAATGCAGCTATAATACCTTGATCTAAAGGCTGAATAAGGGAGGTTGTATTAGGAGGCAAAAACTCAATCTTGACATTTTCATTTAAGCTTTGTAGTCGGTTAGCAGGGTGACCGGGAGCATTATCTATCAACAACAAAACTTTAAATGAAATATTGTTCCTTTTTAAATAATTCTCTACTTCTGGTATAAAACAATTTTGTAACCAATCTACAAAAATGTCTCCAGTGACCCAAGCACGACTATTCGACCTCCAAAATACAGGTAATTTTCGTTTATCTTTATTTTTTAATGCTCTAGGATTTAATGATTAACCAATTATAAACCAATAACGGTTTGGTAATAAAATCTCCAGATGCATTTGAACAAAGCAGCAGAGTAAGACGATCTTTAGCCATCTTAACGCCAGGGGCGGTTTTTTCATTTTTTGATATGAATGTTCTTGAAGGCATTTTTTCCAAAAGAGACCAGTCTCATCAGCATTGAATACTTGTTGTGGGAGATAACAACCGTCTTCAATTATCCTCATTAGACGGTCTGGATATAGTTTTGCTGCTTCGTGATCGGCTGAAGGAGACTCTCCCATCAATTTCAAACTATGAAGGCTGTGCCAATTTTTAAATTTGTCGAACCATCCCTTACTTGCAACAAATGGTTTCAGTTCACTATTTGACGAAGAGGATTTATTTTTCAGAAAATTATCATATAGTTTTGTAGCTTTGTCTCTAATTATAACAGAGCTTAGAGCTACTCTTTTTTTAGTTTGATCCTCAATCCACAAAGCTAACGCGTTTTCCACCTTTTCTATAGGTCCTTTTCTGGAGTACGTAACAAATTTTGAAGATTCACGGACTGAGGATTCGATACTTTTTCGAATTTTTTTTTTATTTTGGCGAATAGTTCGTATAGAAGATTTGTTAACGCTATTTTTTCTGGCCACTTCTGCTACAGTCATTTTTTTGTCTAAATCATCTAATATTGCACATTTTTGTTTCGTTTAGAATCTCTTTAGAATCTGCCATATTAGTTGCCTAAAATTATAAAATTATTTACAAAAAATTGAATGCAAAATGAACAACACTCAAAACTAAGCAAAAAAGGAATTTATAGGAACATAATCCAAATATATAATCTAAATACATTTCTACTTAAAAAAGTATATATTTATATAAATCATGTCTTGCAATTTATTATAAAAAAATTGTCGAAACACAAACGACACCTCTTTGTTTCAAAACACAAGATTAATTGGAACCATAGATAAAGGTAATATAGATATGCCATTTAACGGTATATTTTTGTTACCGTGTAAGCGCCATCTGTTGGATTATTCCCATCCGTTTTAAAACTATTGGCAGCCATCTTGCCTAAAATCTACAACTATTTTAGTATTTTATAATTACTAACAATTACGAGTGTAATTTGCTAAATGTGTAAGTTCATATTGTATATTCTCGTTAAAAAATATGAATTTACACAGTTTACGAATTACCTACATAGAGAAAATGAAACAGGTCATACAATAAAAACATTTTTACTTTATTTAAATCTCCGTGCAAATAAGGTATTAATACAACAAAATTTCCTGGAATCTTTCCCGGTTATAACACGGTTGATTCCATTACAGACACAATGTATAATAATAACAATAATGTTTTCCATTATATAATTTATAATTTCATCTTTGTGATCACACATAAATGTGAATTTAAATTTTTTTTTTAAATGATACATAATAATTTTTATTTTTTCCAATTACATTTGTTTGTATGTATAAGTTGAGCCTGCTTTACCAATTTGCAGGTAGTATTAAGTTTTCTAGAATCTTTACCGCTTAATATGTTGTTTATACCCTTACATAGGTGTGTATTGTTATTACAACAATCTTGTTAATAATAAAATCAATTATCTCTTTTTTATGCTCACACATAAATGTAAAATTAATGGTTTTTTGTAAATATGATACTATAATTTTTTTAACATTTAAACTAAAATTATATTTGGAAATTATATCTTTTGTTATGTTATAACATTGTTCCAAACATTTGTTGTATAAATGTTGACTGGCAATACTGTAAAGATTTGTACGAATTATATTCTTTTTCTTTTATAAATTGATGGTAATCATCAGTATTGTCATTTTTTATAATATGTAACATACAAAATTCACACCTAAATCTTCTTAGTAATTTTTTTGTTATAAATCCGGAAACATACCCAATTGCCGCTTCGTCTTTCGTCTTTTGTTAAATTTTGATAAAATAAAATCGGAACTATAAAATTTTGTTGAATATTGCTGGTCTTCAATGTTATGTGCCTGGGTTGATAAAAAATCCTTCAACTGCAGTAAGGACGAGTCGAAAGTTTCCTCGCAGTTTGCCCCCACAGAATGCGTACTAACCATTTTTCTTATTAGCAGCGTTTTATAGGTATCACCAAACTGTTTTGGCGTTGGATTGTTATTTCGAAGTCGATGCTGCCTAACTTGACCGAAATAGTTTTCTAAGCTATCCTGATTAAAGGTTCTTGGTAGATAAAAAGAAAAGCCTCTACCAAGTAATTCTTCTGCGAGTTCTTTAAAACATGTTATATTATTTTGGAAATTTTTTAAGCTAGGAGGTATTATTTTTTCCTGCGTGCCCTCTTGTTGGAAATACATTTTCTCCAGATTTTCTGAAACAACATAAACATAAATTAAAATACATTAGCGGTTATTAAAAATACATGTATCATATTTTCAGCTAATGTATTTTGATATAGATAATAATGCATGATAATTGCTTACCTGATTACTTACCAGATTATATATATCCTCATTCGCCTTCAATGTAGTAGTAATGGACATGGAAGATACTACAGCGTTGGATGTATTAAAGTATTTATCATCTTCTTCTCCCCTTGTAGGAATGATGAAATTAGCAGAAAGTTCTAAGTTCAACTTTATCCCGGACATTATTTCATGTTTTAATACATTTCGCACTACAGCGTTGGATGTATTAAAGTATTAACATCTTCTTCTCCGCTTGTAGAAATGATTAAATTAGCGGAAACTCTCGATTTTATAAGAAATATGCAATCATCTAAAAATGTTTTGGGCTCTTTGTGCACTAAATTGATAACATTGATAATAGCTCCAGTTCGAACACGAGATTGAAAAGCGGAAATTATGTCTTGCCATCTAGGGTTCGTAAAAAACCTGAATATATCAAAAGCCGGTTTTTCGGTTAATTAATAATGGCAAACCGGTTAATCGGTTAACAGCTTCACCAAAAAAGTGTTTATAGGATGACAAAATAATTATCATGTTAAAACTATAAAAAAGCAGATATTATGTGTATTGAAAATATAAAATATACAAAAGAAAAGGTATAGTTTTCTAGAAAAACCAAACTAAATTTAATTTATAAACTTGATGTTTTTATAAAATAATATTTTAAGAAATCTAACGCGTCTAATAGGCAACGGAAAAAACTTCACTTTCAGTAGATGTCAGTTGTATAGTTCCCAAAGCTTTGTATAAATTTTCAATTGTTGATGTCTTAATTTTTGTGGCTTTAAACATCTTTAATTCTTTTTTAAGTTATTTCCAAACTCGGTCTGTCTGTCTTTTTCTGTATCCTGCAACAATTCTGAGATCGGTTCTTGCATCTCCTGAAACAAAGATGTTCCTGTAGTTATAGGTTTTATTACTTCTTCAATTGCATCAACTTCCTTCTCGATACCTTCGTTATTTGGAACTTTAAATAATCTTTCCGCCAAAGAAGATGCTAACGCATATGTCGAGCTTTTCGCGGAATTTTACATTTCCAAAGATTTGTCCCCTTGTGGGAGTAAACCTCTATGTAAAAATTTATATAACGTAGTTAAATGTATGTGTCTCCTTTCTAAAATTCTTTCTTTTATTGAGTGATACATTTTTTTTCCAAATTGACTATCGTTTTGTTTTAATTTATTAAGTAAAAATATTATAACACCCTCTGCCTTTAATAAACTTGAGGATGATTTACTCAGTTCTATAACTGCCAATTCTACAGGTTTCAATATATCAATTAAATTAATTAAAATATTTGATATGTTGATAGTAGAATTGCGTTGCCTGTCGGCCACGTTATAGACCACACAATATAAACTGAATTTGAATCTTTATTGAATTATTTTTATACGTTACAAGTATTTTCGTACAAAACCACGACCACACCTCAATACATCTTTTTTCCATATCACGGTTCAACGGTTACATTAAGTGCTCACTCTCAACGGTTATGACAGTGTTACCAACATAAAACTTTTTCAAAATAACCAACTTAAGAAACTAAAACCTTAACAATATTAAAATCCATTTCAATGTACAAATCACTTCGTCCGATTTCTTCTAATGCTTTATTTATGCCGTCTTTCATTTGAATGAATCTTTCCATCATTGGTATAAGTGAATTCCATCTAGTTTTACAATCTAGTAACAGGGATAGTGTTTTGCCTTCTTTTTCAAAAACATATCGTTGCAGTATGTCGTTCCTAACTGGCGATTTTCTGAAAAATTTTACTATCTGGTACACATATTGTAAAATGTTCTCCACATCTTTATCTTCCAAACTGTGCTCATTGTTTTCATTGTTATCATCTCGAAACGCATCGAAACGATAACCTGTTTCTTCATCCTCACTTTCTTCGTCCGAAAATTTTTTATAAATCACATTTTTTATAAAAGGTATCCATTACAGCTAAATGAATTGCATGGTTTATCTAACGTAATTTCATTGCAATCGAAAGAATATAATTCAAAATTATTTAATTTAGAAGTGCACGGTCTAAAGTTTCTAATTTTAACATCATTATCGTTTGTGTTTAAAATACGAACAGGTATGACGTGTGATTTAGGTTTCGCAATAACACCGGCTGTAAAAACTCTTTCCGCAATTTTGCAAGGTAAGACAACACAATCATTAGGATCATCGACCCAACAATATTTTATTATTTCGCAACGCGATGGAATTGTGGTATAATTTTCATATATTGAAATATATTAATTTCAAACTCCCTAAGTTAATTCCGATATTTCTTCACAATTTTAGCGGGTATGATTCTCACTTATTCGTAAAGGAATTAGCTGATATCGATTCGGAGGGTATCGGAAAAAAAAATACATTAGCTTTAGTAAAAACGTTTTAGTTGTGATCGCGTTAAAAAACAGTATAAAGATGATGGGGAAAATGATTTTGAAGACATCTACATGAAAATGCGCTTTGTAGATTCATTTAGGTTCATGGCATCCTCTCTCGATTCGCTTGCCAGCAATCTTGTGGAGGATGACTTTACCCACGTTAAAAAATTTTTCATACGTCACGAACAGTTTAAATTGTTGACAAGAAAGGGTGTTTTTCCTTATCAATATATTGATTCTATTGATAGATTGGATGAAACATCATTACCCTCTAAAGATGCTTTTATGAATAAGCTGAGCTTCGATGGTATAAGTGAAGAATAATACAATCATGCGCAAACAGTTTGGCGTACATTTGGGTGTCAAAATTTACGTGAGTATCGTGATCTATATCTAAAGACCGATGTACTTTTACTTGCAGACATCTTTGAAAAGTTTCGAGAGGTGATGCGCCGCGCCGATTGTTGCACTGTGTAACTTAACACTTCCGCCGGCGAGGTGCATTGTATCGCGTAACTCATAATTTATAGTTCAGTTTAACTTTAGAAACCGAACGTGTCAAACGTAAACCGCGCAATGTCTCGTAGTCGTCTCTGTGAGTTTAAACCAAAGAAAAATTTATTCGAAGTTGAGTCGGATTTACCCCTTACCCTATTGTTCATGGAAAACGTCTTAGGAGTTGCGCATGGTCGTCACCTTCCGAGGAGTTAGAAGCGGGCTTGCTTCTCAACGTTTTTTTTTTTTACCTACCTGGCTCGCTAAGGATGTTACCGATCAAGAAATTTTTTGGAGTTACAAGATCAATGTATCGTGTATAATAAAGGTACTAAGGATGTTGGTAAACCGAAGCCCGCTCGTATAATTGAATTTGTAAAAAAATGCCATAACATTAAGGTTTTTATTATTTTTTTACTATTTATAATGTGATGTTTATTATAAAAATGTTTATTAATACTTTTATTGGGTTGATTGGGGGGAAAAATTAAATTGTGTTATTATTATTATTTTAAGTTCCTAAAATAGTTCCTAAGTTCCTGCGCACGCGCATTCAAGAGTTGTTAGGTACGCCTTTTTGCGTTCAACGTTTTTAATTTACGCTCGCGCCATCTTTCAGAAAAGCCAATTCTAGACAGGAAGTTGCTCCTCCGTGACGTCATCCCCCCAATGTAAAAGGATAGGGAACTAGATCTGGTGACTTTTTAAAAAAAGTTACAGTCTACCTGATTGGTAGTGGTTTAGTTTCACTATTATAAACACTAGGTGGCGCGTTACTTTAAAAAAATCACCAGGTCTAGTTACTTTTCCAATACCAACCTATTTTTTTTCTCCTCAGCCTTAGGTTGGTACCCTTCCCTATACTTTTACATTGGGCTGATGACGTCACGGAGGAGCAACTTCCTATCTAGAATCGACGTTTCTATACTACTGCCGCTAATGATTTTATTGCGACGACCTATCCTGGTTCGGTCCTAGGAAAAGGGGTCTTGGTGCCCTGTTATGTGTTCGGGATGTTAACGGTCTCGGGCGCCACCTTATGTTTAGAGAGTTAAGGAACTCTTTCGCCTCCAGGTAACTTTTGGGGGTTACAGTCGGAGATCCAGGGATTCGGTATGGGAAAGAAGAAAACAAGAAAAATTCGGAAAACAAATAACTATCAACTTTATTAATAATAAAATAAACAAATAGGAGGGCAGTTTATTGCTTTGTGACCACGGTCGGAGAATGGGGACGGTGGGAATAAATTGACAAGACTTTGACTTTATAATAAATGAGTTTAAATTAAACAAATAAAAAAAAATGAGGCGGAGGTATGGGATACACCTGAAACCTTCCAAGAGTATTAAGGTTGGGACAAAATGTACAACAATTAATGAAAGTTAACAAAAATAAAATCAAAGTCTTTCAAAATAAATCGGACTTACGGTAAAATTGAAATACGGATATTTCTAAGAAAAAATTAGCGGGTGTCTTCGGAACTGTTGAAGTTGTCGTAGATGGAACTGATGAAGAACTGTTGAAGAACTGTTGTAGAACTGTTAAAAATTAGAATTTTGGCCGGCTATTTATACCATTCTGGGGCGAAAACTGGATTTTTCCGCGTGTGGGATCGTATCAGTACAAGTTATCAACGACTAATTTACAATGCGCGGCGCTAATTAACAAAAATAGCAAAATTCTGACGGTGCTATCGGATGCGGGACATAAAATTACATAATTACAGTCTTTGAACGGGTAAAATCGGCTAAAGAACGGCGGAGTAATTAACAATTAATCAACAATAATTAACGGAAAAATTTATAACACAAATCAAAAGATACCCTTACTTATACGGAAAATCACAAAAATATTTTTAACAAAATCGGCCACTGTTTACGGCACTTATATTCACAAACGTTTTCCCGACCACGTGTTTCACGTTAAAACCAATTAATCGGTATTAATTTACGCGCACTTTAACACAAAACAATTCCAGCAGTTGGGTGATGTTCGGGGCAATCCTACATGGGCAATATTTTCAACGGATGACCATCAGGAATGGAGTAATTAATTATTTATGATGCGGGATGGTTTTCGGTTAATAATCATGTTAATAATAAGCGGATCGTATTTAAAATTGTTCAACGGTTATTTCATGATATTTGTAATTGTTAGAAATCGGTTTGATCGTTCTACGATTTCTAATTCCGCATCATAAAAAATAGATGCCGTACGGTAGCTGAACGGTAGCTCGCTGGCTGCTGAAACTTCCTCGGAACGGTCGGCTGGACGGATAGAAACATGTGGCTTGTCGTATCTTGTTTGGAAATTTGTTAATTTCGGAATTATTTAATTATTTGATAATAATTTTTCGGAAAGCACATGGTTTCGTGATTCAGCAATTTTATTAATCACTTTCATTTATTGATGATTCGGTCAGGGAACGTTGTTGGAATTTAAAATAGCGCTTTCGAAATGTGAAACGGAGAAAATTAAAGTTTAATTAAGAAAATAATCAAAATTAATAAAATGTAAAATGGGTTGCATAAACGGGCAGTGATAAGGTAATAAGATATCTCTTTCGGAATTTCTGCAAATCGGATGGAAACTGTACCGTATCGAGGTAGTGTGGGAAGCATACTCGGATATGTTTAATTTTCGGTAATATTTCGGGTTATTCGGTTTTTGAAAAATAGAAATAATGTAACTTCGTTACATTATTTATATTAAATCCTCGTAACTGCAATTTTTTGAATAATCTTGTTGTAACAAAATTTGATTGTGACGCCGAGTCTAGAATTGCTTGCATGAAAAAGGTACCCCTGTTTGATTAGGAATTTGAATTATTGCTGTTGCAATTAATACCTAAGATGATTTGGTTTCAAACGCTGAACAAACCACATCTCCAGATTGACAACTTGTTTCATAGTGTAATAAAGTGTTATGTTTTGAATTACATTTTTTACGATTCCCACTCCTGCAATCTTTCGAAATGTGTGCTATTTTTAAAAAACACAACTTGTGCTTTCGTGCTGCTTCGGATCTTTCTCGAGGTGTTAACTGAAGAAATTCCTTGCAATTGTATATGTGATGTTGACCCTTACATAAGATGCAATGAATGTTTACTGTGTTGAATGTATGCTCTTTGGATTTTACTTGATTTGACTTTGGTTTTCATGTTGCGTTTTTTGCTGACAAGGTTTCTAATAGATAATGCTCTACTTCTTAAAAAGTTCATGAGATCGTCCAAAGTTTGTAAAATATTCGTTTTTTTAATTTCTTCCCATTCACGTCTGGTTACCTGATCAAGATTGTTGACAACGATATAGATTATGAGCGTGTTCCAATGCGCAACTGGTTGCTTAAGATTTGATGATGACCTTAAATGTTTAGTGACATTATCTATTAACTGACGTAATTCAATATGAGATTCATTATTTATTGTTGATTGATCGAATAGAGCCCCTATATGGTTGTTAATTAGCAGAGATTTATTATCAAATCTCTGGCAGATCAAATCCCATGCCAATATGTAATTATCAGCAGAAAATTCAAGTGCTTGAATTACCTGTAATGCGCTACCTACAATTGAAGCTCGTAAATAATGGAACTTCTGAATTTGACCAATTGTGTTATTTTGATGTATCAAACACTCAAATGTATCCTTAAATTCTAGCCATTTTTACGTTGTTCAAACGTAGGTAATCGAATTTCTGGAAGCTTTATGTTATTGTTCCGAGAAGGTCCGAGTAATGGTGTAGCTTGTGACGATTGTACTGACTAAATGTCGTTTGTGTGAATACTAGGAATAGTAACTACTCAATTTTCTCTGTTCTTACTTTAAGTTCACATAGACATGTTTCGATTTCCTCACTGAGGGAAATTTTCTAACGTTTGACTAGTTGAATTAAGAAAATTTGAAACAAAAGTCAGCTTAGATTTTAAAGTGCTACGTTTTCTTACAAGAACCGTGATTTATGCCATTGATCTTTCGACGCCTGGGCGTATAGGACTCCGATGACGTCACTCCACCTGAACGGCTTTTCGATTGATGTCAAATTTACACTAAGACTTGTTGATTGAATTTTCTTCACGAATGTTATCGTAAATATTCGGCTCGAAGAACCATAGATTTATGTATTTGAATTTGTCTTTACTTGTATATTTTAATGATTTTAGCGCGAAGGAGATTTGGAGATTCGTCTGATTGGCTGTACTGGCGTCACGTGATCGTCATCAGCCAATCAGACGAATCTCCGTTTCTCCAAATCTCCTTCGCACTAAAGGCACCTTTATTGTGTTAACTCTCAACTACATGCTCTCTGTCTCTGTCAACCGTACAACATGCTGCCAACCTAAATAAAAAAAAAAGTTACCAACCTCAAATAAATACAGTTACCAACAAATAGAGGGGTTTAATAAGAATAATTTATAAAAAATTAACTTTTTTATTACTTTAAAATAAACCCAAATAAAAAATTGTTAAATTATTGCCTTTGTAAAGCCGGATCCAGACCAAACGCGCCGCTACGCGTGCTGCGCCTAAAAACACCACGCGAAACTGCGCAGGGCCATACACAGCAACGCAGAATGGCGCAACCATTTTAAGCAAACATATGAACAGATATGAATAAAACGGAGGTTTTGCTTCACATTTTGAGCATATGCTCGATAAAATGTGCATCTAGTTCAGTACTAGATGCACCCTTTCAGTGGTCGGTAATAATGGCAGAGTTTATTAATTTACGGGCAGAAAAACATTACAAAGTACGAAGAGGAGCTGATAACCGAGATTTTAAATCACTTTACCGGTTTGAGGAAGAAAATTTGCATTACATTGCAACACACTTTATGGGCAAGAACAACGAAAGAAGAGGAGGTGCTCTTTCGTCGGACCTTAAAATTAAGATATTTTTACGGTATATGGCCAATCCTGGTTTCCAAACTGGTGTTGCTGAAGAATTGGGAATTCATCAGTCGACAGTATCAAAAACAATTACGTTCGTGATTAACAAAATACTCGAAAAAGCTCCTTTATGGATCAAATTTCCGTCAACGTTGAACCAAGTAAACGAAGCACAGGAGAGGTGGCAGGAGACATTTCAATTTCCATGTGCGATAGGCGTAATTGATTGCACACACGTTCAAATATTGAAACCTATCCATCACGGTGATGAATACATCAACAGAAAGGGGTTGGCGACTTTAAATGTGCAAGCAACGTGCAACTCCAAAGAAATCTTTACTAGTGTTGATGCAAGTTGGCCGGGTTCTGTGCATGACGCTAGAATTTGGAGAAATTCTGAAACACGTTTGATTATGCAACAATTCCCTGGTGCAATATTATTAGGAGATGACGGTTATGGTTTGGAACCGTGGCTAATGACACCATTTCGGAACCCAAATAACGAATCTGAAAGAACTTACAACAGATTGTTTAAGAAAGAAAGGGTGATTATCGAAAGATGTTTCGGCCAACTTAAGCGAAGATTTCCAATTCTAAAATATATGTGCCGTGTTAAATTGGAAAGAGTCCCTTCCGTTATTGTTTGTTGCATTGTACTACACAACATTGCCAAATATTTAGGAGATGCAGATTTTCCAGATGATGATGATGAAGAAAATCTCAATAACGGCGAAGAATATGAATTAGAAGAAGATCGTCTTCTTCAGCGTGCAAGAGAGCGAAGACTTGAAATAGCTGATGTTATCTTTACACAGAATTTGAGGTAGAAGTTTGTGTATTATAAGAGTTTGAAATAATTAAAATAAAAAACATATATATTGATATTTTTATTAAATACTTATGCTTTACAAATTTAAATATACAAAAAAATATTTTTATGCGCCGTACAACAATAACAAAAATAAAATGCTTCTGGTACAAATTATAACCCTTAAGAATGTAATGTTTTATTTATGTTAAATAAAGAGAAAATTCTTAGTATGAAATGTTTTTTTTAATTCCTACAATAACTCAGAAAAAAAACGTGTTATATGAAATAAAGATAAAATTCTTGTATGGCAAGTCTTTTTCCTACAATAGCCCTTAAGAAAAATCATTTTATAAAAATAACAAATATCCCTTAACAAAAAACATGTTTTGTAAATGTAATCTTTGCATGGAATCATATCATATTGTTAGTACCAAAGTATCTATCTAAACCAAATTTATTATTTCTTTAAAGCACTGCGTACCTAGGTACATCATTATCGTTTTCGTTTCCATCAGGCTCATAATAAGAGCGACCGGTATTGGATTTTTGCATCATTTCTCGATAATACTGCCTTTGAACACGAGTGGTCTCCAATTGTTCGATAAGTACCAATCGTTGCAATTCCTGAGTAGTGAGTTTGGAAGTTTCTTCTGTTTCATATGTTTCTAAATTCTTCTTCGTTTGATGTTTTGTAGGTCGAGGTGGCACAAGGGAAGCTATTTGGGGCCTAAATTCATCCGTCTGCTCAGACTCAAGCAATATAGAAGATGATAAATCTTCGTTGTTTTTGTTTATTTTGGTGGTAGGAGGTCCAATACTTTTTGCTCCTATAATAAAAACGGAACATATTTAGCCATTAGTTTAAAATTATGAATGAAAATAACTACCTATTTCATATTTCGTACAAATTTTTAGTGTTTCAAAGAGCCATTTTTTATACATCTAGTTAGGTAAGTTATGTAAAGAATTAACTTTAACAAAGTTTTATGAATATATACGCGATACATATATTTGTATAATATAAACAGGTTAAATAAAATACATACTTACCAGGAATTTTGCTTATAGTCGGATTATCCTCTCCATCCATTAATTCGTGCAAAATTTTTTCCCACTGGCATAAAACGATTTTTTTATTCCCGGTTTTGTTTTTGTCCACTTTGCTTTTTAGCCTCGTTTTCATATTGTTTACTTTTTTCATCAATTGAGAAGAGGTTAATGGTTTTCCCAATTGACGTTCTAGCTCAAGAACTGATTGCCTCAAGGCTTCATCTTTCAATGTTTTTTTCTGCGGAATTTGTGTTTTCCATAGAATTTCCGGCCTTTTTTGCAACTGCAATGCTACTAGCAAATTGTTGCTTGATACATCGTCACCATTTTCTTCTGCCGACATTGTTGTCTTACAAATTACTGGTTTATACAAAGCATTAAACTTCTAAGGGTATAATTCAGTATGTTAGGTTAGGTAAATAAACACAAACATCAAATACTAAGAGCGTAAGTATAACAACTGCGGCACCGATTTATACAAGTCACGACGAGTTAGACGAGCAAATCCTCATTTGATCTAAGCAGATGCTCATAAGTAAAAGCAAATCATTATTCATACAAATCGGAGCAAATGCTTATACTCGGACCTTTTACTTTCAGCATAAGCTTATAGCTGTTGCTTATACTTAAGAGCATTTGCTCGCTTTTTATTCATACCACCCGTTGTCACTGCCAAATCCCGGCTGAGAATTATATACTTCCATTTCAACATCAAAAATCAAGTTATTAATTTTATTCATAAGGATGGCCTTACATGGTTCGCTGAATTTTCGTAGCTTGTTACCAACATGCTCTCCATATACCGAACATTCATCACGGGTTCCTGGTCCACTTACAGCACTATCTAGAATTTCGTATGCGCGAGCCAGTCTAGGATCTTCTCTTTCCACTTTTTTTGTCTTTTAATTTTGGGAGAAACAAAAACCCTTGATTCCTGTGTATCTATTTGTTCTTCATTAGTAGCTTGACTATAGTCTTCTACAGTTTGCTGTTCATCGTGTTTTTCTTCGGAAGTCTGACAATAAAAAATAATAATTATATTAAATCCTGAATATTGAGAAAATGATTATTTACAGATGCCCACTACAATAGAAGGATGGCTTCAAAGTGCTCAAGAGTTCGAAAAACAATGGAATTATCCTCATTGCACTGCATGAAGAATAAATGAATAAAAAAAAAGACTACAAAAGAAAGAATATTCAACTACCGCTTATCAAGAGCACGGCGTGTAGTAGAAAATGCATTTGGTATTCTTACTTCTGTGTTTAGGGTGCTAAGAAAACTCATGCTCCTTGAACCCCATAAAGCCAGAGACGTAGTGTTTATTGTTAGGTTAAACAGATTTAGGTTTTACCTAAACAACATAATTATAATAATAACTAATGTTAATATAAGTACGAAGCTTTGAACGAAGGCTTTCGAAACGCCGGGGTGAATTGAACTAAAATTAGAACTAAAACTAGAACTAACACTAGAAACTTTCGGGGTTGCCTTGCGTCTTTTAAGAAAAGGTTCCACGTTTCGGATGCCATGTTGCAACCTTCTCCAGAAACTGGTTCGAGGTCACTTCGAACCAGTTTCTGAAGGTTGCTGAAGATTGCAACATGGCATCCGAAACGTCAAACCTTTTCTTAAAAGACACACGGCAAAACCCTTAAGTTTTTAGTGTTAGTTCTAGTTTTAGGTTTAATTTCAATTGAACTAATATTAATACTTTCGCGGACAGAACTATATATGCAGTCAATTGGTCCGTTTACGGGTGTACTATCGAAATCACAGTGTCCGCGAAAGTGTTAATTAAGGCATTCTTTTCTTAATTTTATTTTTTTTTTAATATGATTGATATGCAAGCACAAGTTAAATGGTCTAAATTTACGTATCGCGAATCTTAGCCACTTAAAACGTTGTTAATTATTTTAACATAATAAAATAGTAAAATATTGACAAATATTGAAATAAAATCTTTGATATGGTGTTGATGTGCGTCACAAAATATATCTGAGTACTCCCACGTTGTTACGTGGAAAAAATGACAAATGAAAATTCAAATGAAACGTGAATTTTGTGTTTGGTTGTATCAATTTACGGTGTGAATATTGTTTGTCTTATATAAAAGTTTTGCGGAATGTCGTGTGGAGCTTCTATTTTCTCTTTACAGGTCTGGCAATTAATTCGTCTAAAAAGTTTTTTTGCAACAGCTCCAGCAACGTAAGCAGTTGCAAAGTCATATTGCATTTCAGTGTCTTTCAACGCACCTGAAGTCTGATGAAACACGGATAATTCTGTTTGCTCTAATGCAATCGGAGATGGTGTACCGAGCAGATATGCTTTTAAATCACAAAGCTCACCAACTGTTTGATCTCTCTCACAGCTGGCGGCTGTGGAATGCGGAGAAACGTAATTATTGATTATCAAAGATTTAGCAGAAGAAATGAATGATGGACATGTGGGATTAATGTTTCTTACTCCATGGCTTCTTATACTTAAAAAGAAGTTTTCGACGGGATCTTGATTAAATGACCGTGGAGCCAACATGATCAAATCCTATCCCCGATAATTTCTTCCACAAGTATAAGAAACCATTGAGTGTAAAAATGCAGTTCTTCAGAGATGGAATTAGCATATGTTTTTCAGACTGAGGTAACGTGAAATACATAGATTGTAAAATTGGTTTTGCAGATTGCCACATCGCCACATGACGCGATTTTTTTGTTACCACGCATCTAAGGTTCTTTCCTGGCGAACCATATAATTTACTCCCGTTAATACTATCAAAGAGTTTGTCAAAAAAAAAAACATAAATCTGCCGTATCAGTGGCCTTAGGTGTTATATAATACGCAGACGATGACAACAAATCATTACTAATCAATGCTCTGCTTCTTAACGCAGATACAACAGTATGGCTAAAATCTTGAGCGCACTTACTAACTTTCATTTTATTAATTTTTTTAGCCATAACATGTTCATCCGTTAATTTAAAACATTGATTGTAATGAAGGCCAAGTCTTTTATCCAAATGGTAAAAGTCTACAATATGCTCCCAAGATGCTATTTTTTTAACCCTCGGATGACGGATGCCTTGATAGCGACGCGCGAGTCGAATACCGGGTCAATTAGACCCACATCAAAATAATATTTTGTTAAGAAGGGAAAATAAAAAATGTACTAATACAAAATATTATAAACTAGTTTATTTATGTTGAAGAACAATCTATACATAGAATTTTAGTAGGTACTGTATGATTATGACATATAAAATTATTACATTGTTCACATTTTTTACTATATTTATTGTCGTTTCCCACACAAACATGACAACGTGATCGTTTTGAAGATGTTTGTGGAGTCTGATTCTTTCTTCTTATTGGTCTACCGTACGCTTCAAATGCTTGTGCTATGTGTTTATGTAACCCTGTTGCGTTGTTTTCGAATCGTTGTGCCCGTCGCTCAATATATTCTGTAACTAACTCTTTTGCTAAAATCTCAAGAAATATTTTTCGTTTATTTTTCATAGAACTTTTTGACTCCCATTCAGGGTTTTTGGTTATCCAAATAACCAATGCATTATAAGCTGCAATATCTATAAAATTTTGAAAGAGAGACATGGGCCAGCGTCTTGTGGATCGACGACATGTGTATTCTCTTAGTAATTTATCTAGTGTGTCTACACCACTTTTTGTCGAATTGTAGTACTTTATAATTTCAGGTTTGAAATTATTTTCGGAATTAGATATACTGAATTCATGATGTATACTTGAAAGTAAAACAACACATTTTCGTATCTTAGGTACATATGAGACTAAAGTCAACTTATTTGTGAACAGAAATTGCGATGAATATTGTTCTCTATGATAAGTGCCAACAATAGATTTTGGAAGATCTTTTCTATTTTTGCGAATTGTGCCCACAAGAAAGCAACCATTATCTAATAAATATTCCGCTAATATTATGCTCGTAAAAAAATTATCTGTGGTTATAACACGATTAGAATTCTTCCAAAAATCAGTTAGTTGTTTGACAACGCGTTGGCCTTGATCCTTTTCAGGAATTTGTCCGATCTTACCCAGATAAATGTCGAAATTGCAACAGTAATATGTTTTGGCATCGCAAAGTGTCCATATTTTTATACCATATTTCCCTGGTTTTGACGGCATATAAACTTTGAAGGGACACCGTCCCCGGTATGTAACTAGTTGTTCATCTACTGTACCTGTATTTGATGCCTCGTAAGATTCCCGACAATTTGCCGCAAACATATCTGATACTTCCCGTATAGGTGCTAATTTATCCACTTTTTTTCTATCTTCCCGGGTTTCCGTATTGTCAAATCTTATGAACCTCAGAATATCTTTGAATCTGTCACGTGCCATAACCACGGTATACATCTGCCTTGATAATACATTGTCTTTTCGCCATAAGTCGTTCCTGCTTTCACGAGATTCTCTAAATCTTCCGATGAGTAGTAGAAGACCTAGAACTGCATATATTTCTATGGAATCTACTTCTTTCCAAGAGTGAAAGTCAGTAGCGTAATGTGCATTGGCTCTTTGATTGGTGTGTGTAACAATGTTTGCAATGATACTATCGTCCATGAATAATTTGAAACATTCTTCTATAGATTTTACATTTCGACTTTTATTTGTCAAAGAGCCACTTTGATGAACACTCTGTGGGCATTCAACAGATTTCGGAGCAATATATTTCCATGTACGATTACAAATCGTTTCACTTCGGTTATCATTATCTTCTTCATCTGATTCCGACGCAGTAAATATATCCGCTTCACTATCTTGCATTTCCGGTTCCACATCGCTCATTGTGCTACATGATTCTTCCTCTGAAAACTCATCGTCTTCTTCATCTCTGGCAAAATCACTAAAATTCGTAGTGTTTTCCATGTTTTTACGCAGTTGAAGTAAAATGCACTACACCTCTATCGGTTCACTCGCTTTCTGACTCAAATATACAAATAAAACTCGAATTAGGTAATGAGTCATGATACCCAGTTCCGCGCCATGCATATGTGCAAAACCCCCGGCGCCAGATAAAAAAAGACGCCGCGACGCCGCCGCAGCGTTGGTGAACACGTTCGTCGTTTGAATAGTTACTACGTGTACTCACAAAAAAGGCACTAAAAGTCATCAGTTTACAATGTAGACGAAGATTTTATTTAATCATTACAGAAACAATGAAATTGAAAAAAATGCAAAAATAAATGATCACATTTCATAAGGAATTAAATTGGCATGAACTGACGTGCTCATTATTTTTTACCTGATACCGTTCAACCGACACACGTAAAATTTCTGGTAAGATTGCGCTGAAATCCCGGGTCACAATGACCCTGCCTTCGCCGGGCGAGGGTTAATACCATTTTCGGTAAAATGTGAATCTTTCGTGAGCAAATTATTCCGGATACCTTTTAGAAGATGAGGACCATCGTATAAAGGAATGATTTCCTCATCATCTATAAGATATCCTTGATATCTGTTTTCCAAATTATTTTTAATGCAAATTTCATTAGTTTCTTTTAAGAAGTAACTAATCGCGGCTGTATTAGTAATACCTTGGTCACATATTGTACACACTACACGCAGTCCTGTTTGTCTAATACGTCTAATGACATGTTTCATTATACGTATTAGATCTGGAGTACTGGTGCAATTTTCCACAAAATAAAAGCAAACTACTTGCTTCCATTTTCTGTGAATAGCTTTTACCATGAATAACAAGAATTGGCAAATTTAAGTTTTCTGTTTAACTCACCCATGCCTACAAAACCATCAATACTGAGATAATCAATGGCGATAATTTCTAATTTTTCTGACGGAATTATGTTTTGAAAATCTGGTTCATAGTGAAAATTTCTTTCTTTTGAAAGTTGACATTCTTTACAATTCTTGATTAAACTCTTTATTGTTTTATCATCGTTTTTACTGTAAAATCCTTCTCTAATTATTAACCATGTTTTTCTCCCCCCTATATGTTTAAATTCTTGATGTATCATTAGACAAATTTCAGAAAGGTATTCTTTCGTTATAACAAATAACTTCTTATTCCCTACTTGCTTCCATTTTCTGTGAATACCTTTTACCATGAATAACAAGGCATGATTGGCAAATTTAGGTTTTCTGTTTAACTCGCCCATGCCTACAAAACCATCAATACAATCTAAGGTGCTATTATACTGTAGGCCTAATGACACTTCGTCAAACATTAAAATGCAATATTTATCTAAATCACTCTGCATATTATCTACAGATTGTTTTAGATGTACAAAAATAGATTCATTAATGCCAGACCTAAAAGGAAAGTACCCTAACAGTTTTTGTAGCGTCTTCCTGGATGGTAATGAAAAGAAATTTGATAAGAAACGGTATCCTTTGCCACTTTGTTTATAAATGGAAAGAGACAGCACCTTATCATCTAATGTAAATCTTCGCCCGCGTGGTTCCTTTTTTTTTTGATTTCGGCACTGGCTGCTAAAGAAATTTATGGTTTTGGGCAAGTTCAGGTTCAAAAGAATATTAATCAGGTTCGACAAAAAATTCATTTAATTAAACACAAAATCAAATTAACTCGTTTTATGAGTAACAAAAAAAATGGTTTTCCTAAATTTACTTTAATAACAATGTTTATTTTCGAGAGATAAATTTTTAAATAAAATAGATAACTGCGGTTATCGACTGAAATATCGATATTAGAGAGAACCCGTTTATTATTTGAGAGAGAGAGAGTAGGATAAAACTCGTTAGAACTGTTCTTTGAAAATAACAAATGGCCGATGTCTTAAGTTGTCATCAAACTCGTTGAAGAAAAATAGAATTAAATAAATGAACGTTATTCAAGAAAACTAATAAATCTTTACCCACAAGTAAGTATTGATCAAAATTATAGGAAACTCTTGTGAGTTGTTCTTTGAGTTTGATTCTTTGATTTTTCTTTTTGTAGGTTATGTTAAATAATAAAATAAAATTATCATCCGACTCACTGTGAAAAAGAAAGGATTGGAGTTCAATGTGGTATCTGGATTATGGATTGTCTCTTGTGTTCGGGGCACTAACTAATTTTCTGGATTGTCTACAGGATTCTTCTTACGGGAAATTGAACTGTTTGTTCTTCGGAAATAGGGTCTTGGATGATCTCGAAGAAGTATCAGTAGTTCTCGGAATAGGTTGTAGGATGATTCTCTTTTTATTTTAATATCGTAAGTTGATTTGACTTTAAAAAATTATCTTAAATTTTTGAGGTTATCTCTTGAGATTCAAAATTTCTTCTATCTGACGACGTGGATTNGCTTAATAGACCAATAAAAAGCACCTCAAATCAAAAAGTTATAATTTTATAATTTCAATGCAAAATAAAGAGAAATCCATTGGCGATTTAAAATTTTATATTTAAATTACAATATAATTACACTAAAAACCGCTGTCCTCGTCTTCTCCGGGATGACCCTCACAGGTTGGGTTGGGTTGGCCGTTTTTGTCTGTGGTTTTCAATTGATAAAGTACATATAACAAAAAAGCATTATAACAAATAAATGTTGGTTATCAAACACCAACTGCTTCTTACCCTAAGTAACACGGTGTTATCAAAAATTTGAATACTTAATTTGAATACTATTGAAATTAAAAATTAATATAATTAAAATGCTAACCTGTCCTTATTCTTGGGAAAACAAAATAATTTTCCAACTTCATCTTCGCTACATCCACACACAATGCAAAACATTTTTACAATAATTAAGCGAAGGCGTAAGGGAGCCTACAAAGTCAGTATGGATGTGTTCAAAGCTTCCAGATGGAATATCAAATTCATTGAGGGGAAATTTTGTATGTTTATAAATTTTAGATTGTTGACGTTTAATGCAACCAGGATATTCTTCGGATGATTTTACATGTGTTTGAAAATGTGCCAGCCATTCAATAAATAACTGACCATTAATATAACCGGAATCAGATATCATCATCATTGAACCTGGTGCTGCCCCATTCATAAGTTCGTCTTTTTTGCGCTTTTTAGGAAAAATTAAAGTGGGTGGTATGTAGTTTCCTGAGGCACTGAAGCAGCATACCGCAGTTACAAGCTGGCCTCGTTCAGCGGAGACAACTTTTCCGACAGCCCTTTTTCCTTTCGTACGAATCATTTTTGGTATTCGATTTGGCACGGTAGAAAGACCAGTTTCATCCATATTAAAAATAGATGATGGTGGGAAATTATATTTTTCAAAAATTGTCATTAGATTATCAAAGTATCTGTTTACTTGCACTTCGTTGAATCCCATTATCCGCCCCACGCTTGTTTTCTGAGGAATCCGCAAAGTAAGATTGTGCCTTTTCATGAAACTTCGAGACCATTCCTTCTCTGCCTTTCTCCTTGTTGAAGTGGTGGTTTGGATTATTCCTTTCTGCAAACTCGAATCCCAAACGTTGCAAGGACTTAAACGTTAGCCCATAAAATCTTAGACTTAACTGCCTGCAATGTTCTGCTAACTCTTCTTCTTGTTGTCGGTGAAAGATGGATGTGAAACGTCCAAGCTTTGACGTACCACATCCTTTCTTAAGCCTTTTTCTTAAAGTGGATTCGTCAATTTTCAATTCCTTTGCAATTTGTCTGTTTGAAATACCCTCCTCTCTTCTTTGTCTTGCTACCATTAGCATGTCCTCTGTGCAATTTTTTCGGTCCGTTTTTCTTTTGTAGACTCTGAAAAGTATCAAAAACTCAGTGTCTAAGGCTCGGCTTAACCGGTGATCACTTATTTTCTAATAAAAACACGAGACCGCATGCGGACTTATACCCCCACTTCCTAGAGGACTCTTGCCCCAAGTACCCAAACCATTTGCTTATAATGACCCCCCCAAACCACCAAATATAACACCGATTGTAACCTATAAGTTTGTAGTAAGAAACATGCGTTTTCAATAAAAAAAATTACTGATTGAGGTTATTACTTTCTTTTTACATGTAAACGTAATCTGTACAAGGGCTAATTTTACATCAGATATAAGAAAAATCGTACTAACCTCATGGTTCTCCAACAAGCTATCTTCGCTCGGTGTAATTCAGTCGCCACGTTCTAACTGATGTCTATTAACTCCACCTAGCGAAAAGTTATGGAACTAGGCCTATTGTACCGTTAAATTTGAATGTAGGACTCTTGCCCCATGCGGACTCTTACCTCGCTCTACTCTAATAGTTTTCTTTTCTCATCACTGAAATTCACAATTAAGTTTCTTACTGTATTTTCGCTTTTTGGCATTTCATAACATCGTTTTGTTATGAATTCCCGAATTGCTGACCGTGTTAAAGCATTAATAGAAAAGCCATCATAAGCAGCACACTTGGCTAACAATTCTGCCATGGATTCTCTTTGAATGAAATACACCATGCCAGAAGATTCAACAGCAGTCTTATTTCTTTTTTATTATTTTGTTTAATATCGATTTTGTGTTTTGTTTTTAAATGACTTGCTAAAGCTGATGTCGAACATTTTGCTTCATTTTCTTTTACTCTCTCAAATATTTTCCACACACCTGATTTTTTTGTCCATATTTCGGCTAAAATACAAATAAATTTACATACATTTAATTTGAATATAAAACTGAAATAAATACCCGTGTAAAATTTAAACTTAATCAACACCTTTAACGTAGTATAAACACTTTCACACTTTTAGTATAAAACCACAAACTCGAAACGAAACGCCGTGTGGCGAAATGCGCTCAACACGTACCATTCCATAAAAATTGGTGATTCCCCGATTGTTTTTGTCGAACAGTTAAAAAGTTTAAAACCGGGTAACCGGCTACAATTAACCGGTTTTCGGTTGAATTAAAATTTGTTAAAAAAACCGGTCACACTAGGTATTCATGGCACACTTGGTTAAATATCGATATGATATGTGTGCATTTTTCAAAAAACTCTAATTATCTCCCAAACTATAAATGTTAGGTATAGGACATACCGGATATAAAAGATGTAAAATGAGACACAGAAGACGACTAAGTAATAAAATATGGGGGTGCCATTTGAAAAAATTAAGTTATGGTATTTCCATATTTCGAAAAGTTAACGTGCCGTAGTAAAGTGACTAAACGTTCTAGACAGCCGTACTCGGTACCAAAACATACTCCATTACAAAAAGTAAAGTTATTCATAAATCTTGAAAACAGACAAATCCAAATTTGTAAAAATATATAGGTGTTCCATTTAAAAAAATAAGGTAGGTGGCGACTTCCGGTATAACCGGAAGTGCTAGAAATCGGAAAATATTTTAGTCGAAGAGAACGCAATTAATAATACTTAAATCTGAATTTTCAAATTTTTGTATTGGCCAAAACCCTGTAAAGTTCTAATGGACGGTCGTCGTGAATGACCCTGTATATTGAAACATTTTAAAATAAAAATTACAAATAGATAAAACTTACTCATTTAATTGAATTTAAGCGGATTGAATTGATGGCTGTAATGTGAAATACAAACAACAAAATGATGTGTTTAAGAAATACATTTATTATTATTTAATTTTTAAGTATACACAACTTTCATAATACAATTACATTTACATTCATGCAGATGAATATCTGGGTTATCGGTCGGAAAGTTTTTACGTTTCAGGCTTCTTGACGAAATCCAATAAATATACAGGGTGTGTTTTACCAATGTCTTTTGCACCCTTATAAATTATAGACATTTTGCTAAGTTCGATAATTTCTTCGTCGGTAATATCTTCAGCGATGCGTCTTGGTAAATCAATTACGAATCCAGCCCCCAGTTCAAGTACCACGGACGGCCAAGAACACTTTTTAAGCCGTTTGGGTATGGAGTGTCTGGTTGAAGCTCAGAAATAGATTTTTTCGGTGGGTAATTACACTGACCCAATTGACTTAGACGAGACATAACAAGCTAACGTAACCTGTTAGCTTGGAAATAGCTGTCAAACTAAATAAATTATTTAGAACATGTAATTATATGTATGAAGAAAATGGGGGTGGGGAAATGTGTAATAGAAGTTTCTAGAAGGATGATGCAATTCGCACGTCAGGTGTTATTGTTATCTAAAAAGCAAATCAAGCAGTTTTTGTGTAATAGAAGTTTCTAGAAGGATGATGCAATTCGCACGTCAGGTGTTATTGTTATCTAAAATGCAAATTAAGCAGTTTTTGCGTAATAGAAGTTTCTAGAAGGATGATTGAAACATGAAATCCTTGTTCGCACTAACTGTAGGCAAATTTCCTTCGGGTGGCCATTTTAAACCGCCTAATTCTAAAGATTTGCATTCCACTTCGTTTTGCTGAAGTAGGGTTCGAATCAATGATGTTAAACCGGGTTCACGTACCCGTTCGATTTCAGTACCGTTATGCTGAAATGTTGGTAAGTTGTGCGTTAGTTGGATGGTATCAGTTGGATCGTTTAATTTTTCTTTGTGATCCCCCTCAATACGTATATAACTTTCGAAGAACGAAAATAAAACATCTTCTTGGTTCAGTTCAATGGTTAATATATCATTGTTTTGAAAAGAATTACTATGCACTTCTTCTCTAGCGATCGAATTATCCACGATGGGTTCGCGGTATATATTTAACTTTTGTGTGAACATGATAACCTAACTGCTCGAGAAAACGTCTGTTCGCTCGCAATGAAGTCTTTCTTTTAACTATTGATATCGTTTATATCCATATTCACCAGTGAGTTTAAGATAAATAAGTTATAAATAATTAATACTGAGCTGATCATTCTCTTTCTTTATTGTCTATACCTGGTTTCAGAACCCTGCCCTTCTTCGGTAGACCGTCATATTCATTAGAATAATACAAACATTAAGGATTAAAAATAATCTAAATAAACTGAGTTGCACGTGCGAAGAGAAGGTTTAACTGTCGGAACAAGTTGAAACGTCTGTTCGCTCGCAATGAAGTCTTTCTTTTAACTGTTCTTCGTTTAACTGTTCTCTTAACTCTTTTAACATAACATCTTTTAAATATCTATCGACGGCGTGCAACGCGAAGATAGGCGACATCGGCGCCTCGCCCCAAACAATCAACTGCACGTCGTCTCTAATAAAAGCGGATTCGGGATTATCGACGGCAAATCCTGACACGGAATCTTCGTTTAATTGTAATGGTAACTTAAACGATTTGTGCACGGTTTTTCCATTTTCTAACAGTACGGCCGCTATACCGGTCCACGCTACCGCGATGACACTGTTTCTGTATCGACGTAGCACGTACTTCAACAGAGTATTATACAGGAACGTTCTTCCCGTGCCCCCAGGCCCATCTACATAAAATAAATTACGTCCTGTCCGTAATCCTACCATATTAAATTCGATTTCCCGCGTGACTTCGTCGAATACCCCTAATTGATCACCGTTTAATGTCCTTCTGATTTCTTCTTGTTGTTCCTCTTCTCCTCCAACTCTTACGTCTTCATCCGCCGTTCTTCTCGCGTTTCGTAACGCTTCCTCGTCCACCGACGGTAATCGTATCGCCTGCAACGTTTTCCCGTTTCGCAGTAGTTGTTCTTCGATTTTTCTCAACGCTTTAGCTTCCGCTAAGCTTTCGTCGTTACCGGCGTAAAGGAAATCATCCATTAACGCCATTCGGTGATTCAACCATAGTTGATTTAATTCTAACGCAGCATTATCTACGGCAACCAAACAAATAAGAGCAAATAGGCGCCTAAGACGTTTCGGAGGAGCGTTATTCGCCGCTTCGATCATGCAGCGATCGTATTCATTGACGCTTTCATTCTCCGGCAGGCTTCTTGAAATGTTTCGCATACCGTTTCGTTGACGGTTCTCAACGCCTCAAACGATGTGGAACCCGCTACGTGCGCCAATAGCATTCTTCTCCAACTGCCGTCATGATCCTCCCACACGTAGTATTCGGGTATCTCCGGATATTTAAGGTCCTTCGCGTCCGGATCGATCTAGTTCAATCGAAAATATGCCATTAAATCGGCATTTTCGGCATCGTCGTCTACGATGAACGTTTGTTCGTTTGGCATGTGTACGGCAAGTACAACGACGCTATGGGATTTATCATTTAATTTATATTCAAACAAACGCCAAACCGCTTCCATCGAACTAACGTAGCGACATTCTAAATATCGGTCGATTTTGTTCCATTCCAAGACGTCCTTTCGTTGCGCGATTCTATTGTAATACAATTCGGTCCTTTATGCACGTATTTATGCAAATATTTTACAGAGGCCAACGATCCGCATATCTCGAAGTTTATGTGGCACTTCTATTTCATCGCAGCGTACCTGCTGCAAAGAACGACGCTTCTATTATTGATTACCACATCTCGCATTTGGATCGATCGACCGTCGTATGGTCTCTTGTATTGCGGCTATTGTATATGACCCACGTGCAATATCGTTTCTTCGCAAAAATCCTTCGGATATTTCTTCGTGCACGCTGTGTCGCGCATGCACGACGCGCCCGGATTGTTTCGGCCGCAGGGACGGTGTATATAACACTCGGCGACTATTCGATGTAATCCGGGTTCTTCGTTTTCGTTCGGCAAACGGCCAGAAATTAATTTATCTATACTTTCGACATCTTCACATTTATCTTCGGGTCTTATCGTAACTAAAATGTGGGCGTGCGGTAAACCACGTTTTTGAAATTCGATTGGGTACATGTAATTGAGCACGACTCCATAAAGTTGCTTATTGACGATGTCGTCGATGAATTCGTTTAATTTCGTTTTAAATACCCTCGCAACCAAGTCCTTGTACTTTTGGGCGTATTCAAGATTGTTTTGAATTTTATCCCATATCGGATTGCACGTCATTGTAATAAAGAGATCGGGCTTCAAGTGTCTGACTACCATAGCTAACGCTTCCAAGTACTTTCGATTCTTGTATCTTATAGATCCTGTATGCGATGTGGGTAACACCCATGTTTTGCCAATTCTGGTATCTGTAGCTCTAAATTGGTCTTTCAAACATCGTCGAACTACATCGGCCGATACGAGCCTAAATCTTTCTTGATTTTGCTTCAAATAACATAATTCGCTTGCTTCAGCTCTGACCCACTCGTCAACGATATATTGTTGAAACAGTTTTCCCGAATTATGTAAAATTGAAAATTCTTCCCGACACTGCAACCTATACTTGTAAAATTCCCCTATGGTAACATTCTTCGCCGTATTTAGTTGATGCCGTAGCGTTACGTCGCAACCGTACTCTCCGTACGGAAAAAGCAACGGATATACCATCGGATCGGCTAATTTATTCAATTTTTTTAATTCGTGTTGTGCGTTTCTACTCTTCGGATATATTTTTAAATCTACATCGTACGGCGGCTCATTTCCAACAAATACGGCCGCCACGTCATATATTTTTAAATATTTATTTATACGTCGTATATTTTTTTTAAAACCCACCACTATATTTGCTACGTCAACGCCTTCAACTCTTCTTTCTTCTAAAACTTCTTTGATCGTCCTGTACGACGATACCCACACGTTGTCGCGACGTAACGTATTTTCGATAATGTCGATGACCTCCGCACAACTCTATCTCCAATTTTTGCATACGCCGTTCGATCAAATAATATTGATTCACCTTCGGATTTGCGAAATCTTCCGCGTCAAGAATTGGATTTGCAAAATGGTATATTTGTCCACATATTGTAAAGGACCACGCTCCTTGCCCAACGTTCACGCGTCCGGTATCGAGGCGGTAAAAGATCCACAGGCCGTTAATCGCTCTAATATTTTCCCTATAGTTCCTACCCATCGCGTCTCTCTCGACCAATAATCTTCTGATTTCCTCCGGGCAACGACGTAACTCCGGCAACCGTACGTCTCCATCTTTACAGCACAACATTCTCTTCTGGGATCTGGTTGTAATTTCTTTGGTAAAATATTTCGTGTTGCAGTGTCTACAAACATCGTCCAAAACGACGATCACGTACGGTCTGCGTGATTCCGCTTTTGATTGCTGTCCCGGCTGAGAAATTTCGCATTCCTCTATCTCGCCCTCTCCTAAACGGGGTATTACCACGGCTGACGACGGTCCCGGCACAGGTTCCGTCGTTGTTACAGTAGCTTCTTCCGCCCGTGCACGGCCGTCAGGATTTACTGGTACGTTCACCTGTAACCGCTCCAAAACGACAACGGGTCACCATAACGCCGCTTCGCTTTTTGGCGATAAAATTTCTTTATTCGCCGTGTTAATATTTCTCTGCGACCTGCTCGTTGCTTGCGAGCTATATTGTCTACTACTTGACAATTTTGCTTTCGTCCGAACCATTTTATCACGATTTTTATTTAATAATAGTAACACTATTTAATTTAATGTTTATTAATAATAAAAAAATTACCTAAATTTAAACATAAAACTTATAAAAACCTAAAAACTGAGTTAAAGTTGGAATACAAAATGAATTAAACAAATATTATTACAAAAAATTAACAATTAACTTTTTTAAACTTAAACGAAATAAAAAAAATCGAAAGTTAAAGTAAAACGCAAAAATGAATTAAATTATTATAAATTAGATATAAGAAATCAAAAACTTATTCTTTACAATAAGAAAGATAAAAAATTAAATAAATTATTCCACTTACCCAAACAATAGAATAAACCTTTATGGAAAAGTTGATACCGCTACACCGCTAAAACACTTAAAAACTAAAAAAAAAACTATTAGCATACAAATTAATTATCACTAAAAACACTTTTATGGTTGCAATGAAAATTGCAGGGATTCTAACGTTTATCAATATCTGAACTGATCAGAATATTAAAGAAAAATTAAATACTCCGTCTCGATAAACTCGACGAACTGCGACCAAACGAAAAGCGTTGCCGCCTTTTACTCTGGTTCAAGCGTCTTAAAACCGGTTCAAACCACTTTAATCCGATACATATTGCGAACACATGCTTGTTAACGTATTTTCGTAAGAAAGTTATAATTCAAACTTTCTCACGAAAATACGAAAATAAAATAAATGGGTTAAATAAATTAGAATTCGCTCTATCTCTGGCTACTTGTTCCCAGTTAGGAATCTCGACCAGAAAGGAAAGATGGCTGACAGTGAGTAGTAACGATAAAACTCGCTCCGTTAAATAAATGTTTTAAAGTGATTTAAAATGCAGTTATCAGCGGAGAATTTACGGCAGATAGAAGAAGTGGTGAATAAATCTGTAGGGGAGTTGTTGAAAAGTCAAGATGTTTGCTCTAAAATTGCTAATTTGGTTATAAAGGAAATTAAACATCTTCAAGAATATGTCGTACAGCTGGAAAGAGAAAACCTGCTTCTTAAAGAAAAAGTGGACGACTTAGAACAATATTCAAGACGTTGTTGTTTACGCGTGTTTGGTATTCCCGAGGAAGTTAAAGAGGATACGGAAATGAAAGTATTAGAGATTTTTTAAAATAAAATGGGAGTCAAAATTGGCGCGGATTCTATAGACCGCTGCCACCACTTTTAAGAAGGAGGAAAACAATGACAGACGACGTCCACTTATAGTAAAATTCACCGGTTATAAACCTCGAAATTTAGTTTTTAAATCCAAATCGATGTTAAAAGCTTATCCCAAAATTCGTATAAGCGAGGATTTAACTAAAAATAGATATAAACTTTTTTGCACGATCAGACTATTTTGTTTATTTGCGAGTAGTGTTTCTATGACGGTAAGTTGATTTTACTGGTTGCTACGGCTAAAACGACGGTAAGTAATTTTACTTACCTTTAATTACGTACCTTTAATTTACTTACCGTTCTAGAACGGGTTCTAGGTTTTTTCGTTTTTTTTATTTATGACAGTAAATGTGCGCTGAATATTGGTTTTTGTATTTGGAATGGTTATAATAATAAAAGATTCACGATCTTCTATATCTTTAATAGTCATTTTATATAACTCTTCTCTGCGACATGCTCCCGCTACTCCTAATATCATTGCTACCTAAAAAAATACATTGTCGGAAATATATCCTCGTATTTTTACAAGTAATCTAAATTTACCTTATGGATTAAAAACAATTCGTCTGGTGCTTCAATTAAAAATTTAAACATTTCATCCTTGGTAAAAACACTAGCCTTTTTAGGTTTGTACCCAACATTTTTTCTTTTTAGAAAGGCAAATAATGTTGAAAACTTGGATATATCAATGGATTCGTGTAAAAAAAATTGTCGCTTTCAACATTCGGCCCATAAACTACCTGCAGCTTTTAATTTTCCGTTTCTTTCGACCAAATATGCCAACAAGATTTTTTCACTCGTATTTTTATTCTTTACTCATAACGTCATTTCATAACGTTCCCTAGATTTTTCGGGAATTATTGCCGAACGTCCAATATTCCAAGCTTTTTCTATATCATCACCATTTTCACTCTCAGAATCACTTATTTTGGTTATATAGTAATATATATTATAATTTATATAATTTATATTATATTAAGTTTTAATATTATTGTAAGCACTGTTTACAATACAATTTCACAAACCACACAATTTGTTTTTTTTTTGTAAATAAAACCAGGGCAACAGAATTAATTCAAATTTTTTACCTACTTTATAATTATTACAAATGTCAACATATTTTAGTAAATTAATTATTATTTATATTCATTTCGATCGTGCAAAAAATGTTATAACCATCACGAACGGTTCCGACACTATTGAAACATTGTCGTCAACCGGTAAATTGTACTTACCGTTCTGGATACTTAATATACTATTAAGGGCAGCACAGGAAAAGTTCGGAAAACGAATGGCTTGGTCACGTGATGGTAAAATTTATGTTAGATCATCAATGAATTTGTCGGCTAGATGGGTAAAATCTTTATCTGATCTGGAAATGGAGAATTTAGATGTAACAAATATTGGGAATTGAAGAGATTTTATCCTCACAAAGATAAGTCTACTCATATGTATGTTTAAATATTATTGTTTTTTTTTCTTTTTGTTTTGCTTTATATTCTAAGATATAATTAATTCAATCAATTTGATTGTTAATTTCCATTAAATTTAATCGCTATGAATCGGTTAATGTTAGAGAAAAGATGGAGCGGTTTTATTTTTGTTACGATTGTAAACAAGTTTCACCGAAGGGAAGTGAGTGTATTTTTGAAATACCTTTACGTTTTCTTTTCTTTTTTTTTTGCGATTATTTGTATTTCTTCTATCATTATTTATAGATATAGACACACAATATTTTTACTTTTGTATCGCTTGCGATTGCACTTGCGAACACTACACGCGTGCGAACACTACTGTTTATAAACTATTCTACTTTGTATTAATATTTGTTCACATATTTCTGTGGTTAAATTATATACAGGGTGTTTCAGGTTTTTGTAGCAGGACTTTAACAGTCGATAGATCTTTTAAAATTAACACAAAAACATAGGTCGACAAACGCTTTGTTTTGGAGATACAGGGTGTTCAAATTAAATTTTTAAATTGATTTTTATTTAATATTACACGTGTATTTCAACCGATTCTTCTCAAATTTGATACACGGAGGTTTTTTGGCATGGGAAAGACGATTATGGAGTCCGTTTTACTATAGCCGGTAGAGGGCGCTCTGTAACGTATTCTTTACGGATTAAAATAACAATAACTTTTCTGATAGTATACTTTTTGGCTTTTTAAATAAGAATTCTTATTCTCGGTACTTTTTTAAGCAAAAACGGTACTCTTATCAAAATGCGCTAAAGTTGATCGTTTTCAAGATAATCCGCTTTTTATTATTCGATGTAGACCAATTTGTTTAGAGGATTTTTAAAGATAGGTATGCATAACAATGTTTGCCATTGAAACAAAATAGGTAAGTTCACTAATCTTTTAGTTTATTGTATCAAGTGTGAAATCACCAGTAGTAGTTGATCAGTGTTAAATTAATTTTTCTTATTCGTTAACGTATTAAATTCAATTTTCTTGTTTATTAACGTGGTAAATTCATTACTCTTTCATTTTTTAATTTTTTGTTTGCTGCATAAAAACTTTATAAAATGCCGTTTTTGTAATGTGGGACGATGAATCGTTTTTCACAAGACGTGGTAAAGTTTGTAAACTTTCACAATTTACATGTTTTGGTACCCCTACGTATTTAGTGTCAACGTTTGGGTAGGTGTTTATAATAATCATCTTTTCGGGCCATACTTTTTGCCACCACAACTAACCGCTGCGGCGTTCTTGTAATTTTTGGTAGCTGAACATAGTGGTTTCAACTTGATGATTGTGCAGCTTATAGAAGTAGTAGGGTGGTAAGAAATTGGCTAGACAACTATTCCTGCAAGATGGATTGGTCGAGGTGGACCAGTCGCATAGCCCCATAATCTGCAGACCTTAATGCTTTAGAATTTTTTGTGTGGAGATATTTGAAAGGAAAATTGTATGAGACCCCTGTTCCAAGGGATGAACTTTTAATAGGATTAGGAATTGAACTAAAATTAGAGCTAAAAAAGTCACTTCGAACCAGTTTCTGAAGAAGGTTGCAACATGGCATCCGAAACGTCAAACCTTTTCTTAAAAGACGCACGGCAAAACCCGAAAGTTAGTTAAGAGTTAGTTCTAGTTTTAGTTCTAATTTTAGTTCAATTAACTACGGCCGTGAAAGCCTTCGTACTTATAGGATATAAGGCTGTTCTTAAATATCATTACTCGATCAGTAATTCGTCTATCAGAATTATGCAAGCAAAATGTTTACGTTTTCAACACTTCCTTTAATTTTTTTCTTTTATTATTTAGATTAAAAAAACATTAATAAACTAAAACATTAGTTAATTTACCTACTTTGTTTCCATAGCACACATTATTTTAACTATCTTTAACTACCCTCTAAAAACATTGGTCTGTACGAATAATAAAAAGCGGATTATCTTGAAAACGATAAACTTTACCGCATTTTGATAAGAGTACCCTTTTTGCTTAAAAAGTACAGAGAATAAGATTTTTATTCAAAAAGCCAAAAAGTATACTGTCAGAAAAGTTATTGCTATTTTAATCCTTAAAGAATACGTTACAGAGCGCCCTCTACCGGCGTATACCAGATTTGAAAAGAATCGGTATATAATACCTCCAAAACAAAGCGTCTGTCGACCTATGTTTATATGAAGTTTTTGTGTTAATTTTAAAAGATCTATCGACTGTTAAAGTCCTGCTACAAAAACCTGAAACACCCTGTATGTGCTGTCAATTCTGATAATTTTACTATTTTTGCTGTGTCGGAGAGCTGGTTATCACCAAACATATCTGATGATTTGATTAACATTCCTGGTTATTGGTTATTTAGGAATGATCGTGCCGGTAGGATCGTGCCAATCCTATTCTTTTCCGAAGTCTCCGTTAGAATTCTTCACTTCTTTTTTCTTGTGTTTCTTCCCTTTGACAATCTTGGTCCGGCCTTGTGGAACGGTCTCACCATTTCAGGTGTCACAGTGCCACAGTGCTAAACTTTTGATAGGATTTTGAACTGCCTTGCAATCCTGAAGAAGGGTGCGATGGAATGACCTCTAGCAATGCTGGTGGAGTAGTTGTTGGCTCTTGGGCACGATCAGTTACAAAAGCGGCTTCAATATCGTCATCTGTGAACGCATTTCGGGGAAATTGAATGGTTAACGTCTTTCCCGGATTGCTTGTTAACCAATCATTTTGGGCAACTGATAGTCTTCCTTTGAATGGTCCCATCACTGCAACATCTAACGGCTGCAATCGATGGGTGCAGTGAGGTGGAAATGTGACTAGACTCATTCCATGTTTTTTAGCAAATAGAACAGCTTCCAATGTGCAGTGGCTCTCATGGTTATCCATAACTATGAGAATAGGGTCGTCTTTAGTACATTTTGTATAGATTCTAATGTGCTCCAAAACCTTCAAGAATAAAGGCCCTGTCATCCACCCACTTGTTGTACTATTGACCATGGTATTAAGCCCGTGGGAAGACAGAAACTGGAGGTATGCAATTTCCACAAGCGTTAACGATTGCACACATTGTTACTAGTTGTCCCCTTTCCGCAGAAACAACTTGCCCCACTTGTTTTGTTCCCTTCTTCGAACAACATTACAACATTAGGGGCTTGAACGACAGAGGTAATCCCTGTCTCGTCCAGGTTCCAGATTTTTTCAGTTGTGAACGGGTAGGTCTGCAAGGCTCTTTGATAATTGTCTTGAAATTCAGTGACATTGGCTACCAGGCTAGTAATTTCCGGTTTTCTTAAAGAAAGTTGAGCATGGCACTTCATATATCCTTGTAGCCAATCAACACCGGCCAGGTCAAAATTGTCCCAGTTCTTGGGATAATTACAACCAATTGATTTTGCGTAAGTCAATGCAAGCCTTCGAATGTCAATATAAGACCATAACTCATTTTGGAACATTGGACAATATAATTTTCAAGCATGGTCTCTTGCTCTGTGGTAAAAACCTGCTTCGCTGTATATTTTGATCCGTATTTGTTTTCACCTGTTTGCTCTTTTTTAACTCTATAATATAAAGCGGTGTGGGTGAGACCATAGATGGTCGCTGCTCTTCTTAGAGGCATTTTGTTTTCTTTAACTGCTGTTATAGCTGCTTTCATGTCATCTTCATTTATATCTGGTTTTGTCTTTTTCTTCTTGTACGTCCGCACCATATTTAAATCTATGATAAGAAAGAAATTTTAGGTACAGGAAAAATTCTGCAGTATTGGGGCAGCTTTGAACATGTTCAAAAGTGCCCCTTTGTTGATGTTCAAAACTGCCCCAACACACATCAATACTTGTTTCCGTCAATTCAATTTTTTTGGTTAGGTTATAATGAAAGTTAAATACGGCAAATTACTACCCAAATTATCACTCTTGATAGTACAAACACAAAACTACTTACCAGAATTTCTCCCTCCGTTCTATTTCGTAACAAAGTGAATATTGCAAAATTCGATAATAACATATAAAGTGCACTTTTCACAGCGGCAAACCTTCAAAGCGCGGTATACGACAAAAACATTTTGTTAGATGTTTAGCTATGTTGCCACATGTAGCATCTGTCGTTTGAGCCACCTGGTGGTTCATGTTCCAAACTAATTTAATGTGTTCAAATGTACCCCCTTCTCCCCTAAAACTAAATGGAATGCCATAATTTTTTTAAAACTTTTTTAATTTCTTATTTGCCGCTATTA